TTTGGTTGCTTAGCTTATGCCCATATTCCTAAAAGCAAACGGAAGAAATTAGACGCTAAATCCTCAAAATGCATATTTATGGGTTACCCTGAAGGTACAAAAGGATTCAAATTGTACAATCCAGAAACAAAGTCATTCATCAAGAGCCGAGATGTAATTTTTGATGAATGGAAGTTTTACAACTTTGACAATAAAAATTCAAACACTGCTAATACTTTTGAGATACAGACACCTTTTATGCAAACAGATGATGATAACGAAGAAAATGATGATCGTGCTGTAAGAGAAGATAATATTTTTAATCCTGAACCTAAAGAAACTTTTATGCAACAAGTTAAAGGGGTAGTCGGGCCTTAACACAACTTTCGCTCATATGAAAGTGTATATTGTTCTTACCTCTCTCACGAAGTCCTAGGTTTCCAATTCAAATTTAACTCGAGAAATAATGCCTTAAATGTGTGTATTTTGCCTTGTTCGATCGCCATGTGTACATGCGAAGCGCAGTCCAGCAGCGGTTTTCGTCGTGACGTCACTGCGCGGTGATCGTTGTCAACATTAGACAGATATCGCATAAGCGTGCATTTTATTTTCTAAGTTAAATTATTGCGCAATGGATACGATTATCAACGATTCCTCTAGTAATTATTCTGGAAGCAGTGTTTCAAACTGATGAAGAATGATTCAAACCATGCTTATGAGCCGATTGAAACAGAATTGGAAGCCTATGACGAGTTTGACGAGCTGTTGTAACAATGATGAAGACTCAGAATAGATACTCGGACTGTATTACTGATAATCCTGTTTTCGAAATCTTTGTTGAGATTATACGGAATACACATGGGTTCAAGAGCTGAAGAAGGACCTGAAACAAAAGACAAAGACATGTGGCTTACAGGCAACTGGTTCGATGGTGTTGGGGGGCGAAAGAGCACTACTATCATTTGCTGTTGCTACATTCAGCACATTTCCAACCACCAGGTCTAGAAGAGACTTTGTCTTTCAGGGTTTAAATTAGCTGATGAATAATAATAATGTAATGTAAACTATATAGCCATATTTATAAGTATTGTTAATGATGAATTACTAATAAATAAAAATATAAATTGGATTTAGTAAATGAACAATAAATACAAATTATAATGGTCAATTCTTTATTTGTGCGCGATTTTGGTGTACATAATTAAAAGCCTTTGCTAATGAATTTGCACAGCAAAACAAAAAAATTGTGCTACTTTACTATTAGAGATTCTCTTATTATTAATTATAAATATTGATATATACATAATTATTTTTGGGGGACTGTTTACCCATTCTTGATTTGTGTGCTTGTAAAACACTTTATTTGTTTGGCTTTTCTATAGATGCAATATTTCTTGTAATGTTTGCTGGTAAAGAAATCTTGTTATGTACATTTTTTACATTAAAACAGCAGACATCTTCCATCATACCTTGCACAAAAGAATATGACTTACTCACCATAATTGGCTTGCTACCCAATTTTTCACCCTTTAAACACGATAAGCACAAGTGGAAGGAGGAAAGTACTTTATTAAAAGTGCTTTTCGTATAAAAGGTATGCTTGCAAGAACCAAGTTGGCAGTGATAGACCACAATGTAAACACTGGCAGAAAACAAGCACAAGTTCAATGTGGAAGCAGCAAGGGGAAAGTGATATAATATCATGTTCCCAAAGGACAAGAAAATTGGGTAGCCAAGCCAATTATGGCGAGTGTCATGTTCTTGCAAGGTATGATGGAAGATGTCTGCTGTTTTAATGTAAAAAATGTACATAACAAGATTTCTTTATCAGCAAACATTGCAAGAAATATTGCATCTATAGAAAAGCCAAACAAAGAAAGTGTTATACAAGCACAATAATAGAGAATCTCTAATAGTAAAGTAGCCCAATTTTTGTTTTGCTAAAATTCATTAGCAAAGGCACTTTTAATTATGTACACCAAAATCTTGCATAGCACAAATAAAGAATTGGTTTGGCTTGGCCATTATAATTTGTATTTATTGTTCATTTACTAAATCCAATTTATATTTTTATTTATTAGTAATTCATCAACAATACTTATAAATATGGCTATAATAGTTTACATTACCATTATTATTCATCAGCGAATTTAAAACCCTCAAAGACAAAGTCCTCTTCTAGACCTGGTGGTTGGAAATGTGCTCGAATGTAGCTCACAGCAAAAGATGGTAGTGGTACTCTAATTTCCTTGCCCAATACATTCCAACACCATCGAACCAGTTGCCTGTAAGCCACATGTCTTTGTCTTTTGTGTTCAGGTCCTTCTTCAGCTCTTGAACCATAGTGTTGTTTGTACTCACTCCATGCCAGTCGTAATACCCAATAATTTCAACAAAGATTTCGAAAAACAGGATTATCTGTAATACAGTCCGGAGTATCTATTCCCTCAAATTGTGCTGAGTCTTCATTCATTGTTACAGCTGAACTTCGTCGGAGTCGTCCATAGGCTCGTCGCTAGAGTCTGTTTCAATCGGCTCATAAGCATATGGTTGAATCATGTTTTGATCGTTAATCATTTCTTCGTAGTTTGAAACACTGCTTCCAGAATAATTACTAGAGGAATCGTTTGAGTAATCCGTATCCATTGCGCAAAATAATTTAAAAACTTAGAAAATAAAATGCAACGATGAATATGCTTATGCGTAATTTCTACTTTTGCTAGTATATTTTGTCTAATGTTGACAACGATCACCGCGCAGTGACGTAACGACGAAAAACCGCTGCTGGACTGCGGCTTCGCTTGCATGTACACAAAGGCGATCGAAAAATACACACATTTAAGGCATTATTTCTCGAGTTAAATTTGAATTGGAAACCTAGGATTTCGTGAGAGAGGTAAGAACAATATACACTTTCATATGAGCGAAAGTTGTGTTAAGGTCTGACTACCCCTTTAAGAATCTGAATTCGCGAAGAGAACGAAGACCCCCTGTTAGATACCCCGATGAAGAGGTATATGTTGCAGATGATCTCACTGCAGATATTAACGAACCCAGGAACATTAATGAAGCATGGTCATGTGATCAGAAAAAGGAATGGATTGAAGCCACTGATGCTGAGTATATTTCACTGATGGAGAATAAAACGTGGGAGCTGGTAGCTTTACCCAGTGGAAAGAATTTAGTTGGAAGTAAATGGGTTTTCAAGGTCAAGCGGAATGCTGATGGATCGATTGAGAAATTCAAAGCGCGTCTGGTAGCCCAAGGATACTCGCAAGCTGCGGGAGTTGATTTCCAGGAGGTATTCTCGCCTGTGATATGCAACACTTCAATGAGGTCTTTACTTGCTCTGGCTAACTCTCTGGATTGGGAAGTTCATCAGATGGACGTAAAGTCAGCGTTTCTACAAGGAGATCTGAATGAAGGGATTTACATGCGTCAGCCAGATGGGTATGTTGATAAAGGTAATCCTAATCATGTATGCAAACTGAAAAAGAGCTTGTATGGCTTAAAACAAGCAGCTCGATGCTGGAATTCCTCAATAGATCATTACTTGAAGACAAGTGGGTACAAACAAGCCGATTCAGACCAATGTTTTTATATGAAATCGATCAAAGCAAAGGATGGGAGAATCAATTTTGTCATCCTGTCTATTCATGTAGATGATATTTTACTTTTCTCTAACATTATCGATATGTTAAATAAAGAAAAGTTATTAATTGGCAAACGATTTAAGTACGCGCGGCAAGTTCACCAGTGTGCGGCGGGCTTTAGGAATGACGATACATTACATATGTATTAAACAAAGTATTATACATCTGATCATAGTGCTAGTCACATGATCTAGTAAGCACTACTTATTGTATGCTAATTTAAAAATTTTCACACTTTAACTTGAGTTCTGCTCTACACTGCATGGCTTAGATCAACGCTCTTTATACAACTAAAACTATTAAATGTATGTCGTTTTGCTTGTGCTTTAACAATAAATTAACAGGAAGCTCTACACATTAATAAAACTAATCCCGATTTAAATATCCAAGTTCACCACTACAACACTATATTTACTTTATAATAATATTTTTTGTTATAAGTTCTTAGTACTTATTTTTCTTTTCCTTTTTTGTAAATATTTTATAATTTTGTAACTAAATCATAATCCTATTCATTGTAATTAATTTATTCATATCATATTACGTATCATATTACTTAACACTAACCATTCTGCACTGAAGATGGCATTCTGATAATGTCGAAACACGTTTGCTTTCAAAAAAATCGTCGTTTCTCTCAAGTGTTCTTTACTCTTTTGCTAACTCATGAAATTCGAATGATGATAAGGAATTTATGCCCAAAATTTTTGATCTGCTTTGTGAATACTTTCTTTGCTTTCTTTCTTTCTCTCCATTTAAGCGTCAATTATCTGACAGCTAGTTGCATGTTAGCAAAACTGAACATTTATTGTCAGTTATTAATTGTTTTCATTGCACTAAAATGCTGAGAATAGCATTTCCATTTGATGTATCCAGACCCCTTAAAAGAGAACACATTTAGTGTTCTACGATGGACTTGTTTAAACAAGGCAATATTTGCATAGCACACTGACAGTGACAACCAATGTTTGTCAGTAATTTAACGCTAAAAAAATTTAAGGGTCAATTTTTCTAGGCAATTTGATTTGAAGTTAGGTTGATCAAAATGATCAGTACAGTACGGTGGTGGTCTTATCACATTTAAGCTTTTGTTTGAAATTTTTAAAGCCAATTACTTATATTAATTTTTATAGGGTACTGCCCCTTGTATGAGTTTTCTAAGGCATAGTTACTTTTAAAAGAATCGAGATCGGCTCAACTGAATAAATGAATAACTCATCCACATTCAACGCTTTGTTACGCAAAGCCACTGATAATATTGCACAACAGTAACAATATCTAACCAATTTATCAGGTCAACTGATAAAAATACAGAGCAGCATATGGAAGAGGAGAATGTATGCAATTCTAACAAACAGGTATTCTTACCTTTTCTTCAGGTCAATTGGCAAATCTAATTCCATCAGGTATTTTACAATATCAACCATACCGTTTTCGACTAAATGCATCAAACAGTCATGTACATACTCAGACTTTGCAGAGAATATGGTGCCACAATACAGTTTTACTGCTTCTCTTATGATAGGAAGTACGTGTTCGTTTTCACGAGGAAGTCCTTCTAAGCATGCCAAAATGTAGTTTATTGGTACTTGCATGTCACGATCTGGATGAAATTCAACGCCGAATTTAACAAGAGTAGAAAAGGCCTGAAAAAAGATGAATAAACTGCTCATAGTTAAACTGAAGGAGCATTTTTCTACAATTTTCAACTACAATAAAATGAAGTAGGAAGAGCTTGTACTTTACCTCAGAAAAGAAGAGGCAAATTTTTCATACTATACTTATGCAATATGTTTTACTACAACAAATTTTCCAAAAAAATAGAAAATATATAAAAAAAGATTTATCAAGCAATTAGTCTTAAATTAAAATGGATTTTAAAATTTTTCTGATTGGCAAAACAACTATAAATCTTAATTAATGTTATTAAACATTATTTATAAAGTATTTGGATTTTTGAGTTTGATTTGAATATTGAATGTATTGGCATTTTCAATGCTGAGTAATCCAGCATAGTTCATAAAACCTAATATTTTTTAGGTTATATAACTATAAACGTCAACTAGGACTGCTAATTTTGGAAAATGAACTAAGAATTTAGGATGGTCACAAGTAATTAACTACGATAAATATGCGTAATAACAGCATAGCGTTTTTAAAATTTTCTCCTGGGAGACGTCAAAAAATTGACCTTTTTTAGATTTCTTGCTCTCCATATTTCATTTAAGCTTACCAGAAGTGCGTTCAAACTGGAATATTAATTTTTTGGCGACAGTACCATTGCGTTAAATATTCTGGAGTTAGCTATGGACACTTGAACTTTTTTCTAACTTGACTGCAATAAATTATCACTGTAATAAGTTAAGTAGCTAATAAAAAATGCAGATTTTTCTTAAAAAGCTCTTATAATTTTTTTCTCAACATACATTAGGACACATTTATAATTACTCGAAACTTTCTTATTGACTACAAAAGAGCATTACCTACCTCTCCTTGATTAGCCAAAGCTGCAAAATGAAGAACTGAACAATTGGTATTGTCTGTTTCATCAAGAATTTTTGGTATTTTTTTGTGCTATAAAGATTTTGAAATTAGTAAGTAAGAAATAAATAACATTAATCAGCTATTTTTCTGTTCAGTTATTGATACACTGTATCGCATCACATGAGATATAAACAAATGAAAGTCGTTGACACATACGTGACTTTATAATTGAACTGAAAATTGCCTATGTAATTTAAGTTAATTTTGTTTGATAATAAAGAACAGAAAACAAAACAAAAAATAAAGAGGAGAGGGCTTACGGAACGTTTAAGATTGTTGATAACAGATTTCCCGATCAGCAGATACAGTCTACGGGGTTTTTATAAAAGGAATATATTACAATTAAGTTAGGCTTTTTTGAATTATATTTCAATTGGATTTATGTCCCAAACCTAGCAATTGATTACTTTATAAATAAAATTTCTTGTCAAAATTGCATTTGAACGCCATACTTTTGCCCAGTCCTCTTGCGTGAGACGTAATATACCTACTCGACTGAGCAATCTATAGTGTAGTTTGGTATATATTATGAGGTATTTAATGATGGATATTACATTCCAGCAAAAAGTGGCTGAATTACTTAAAGTATTTACAAAAAAGTAAAGTTATTAACTTTATTATAAAGTGAAGATAAGTTAAAGATTTAACATAACAAGATGAATATGAAAGAATGCAAAGAATGAGTTTGTCAAAGATTGCAGCAAAATAGCGTGAGTCCGAAAAACTGACGAGTGTGTGAGTTTACCCAACAACTTAATACACGACTTTTTCATTTGATTAATTAGCTATATTAGCTATATTAGCTATATTAGCAATGTAGAGAGATGTAATAAACAATTAATTGATGCATGGTTTTAGTGTATGGGTGGCCACATTAAAACCACAGAAAGAAAGCGACATTTGAGAAAAGCACCTAAGAAAACAGAAAACAAGTGTTTTGTAAAGCTCTTTTTAACTAGACTGATATATTTGGCTAATGCCACCGAAAAAACGGAAGATCATGCACTCTACAAGGCGTTTGTTTGAAACTGTATAAGACCTAGTAACATAACACCAATGTACTCTCAACTTACATCTAGTTTTTCTTTAGCAGCAACCAAGAGACGTTCTAACATAGCATAATTTTCTACGGCATAGAAAAAAACATTCCTTCCAGAAGCACACCATGAGAATACTTTTTTTGCATACTTAACGTCAAAAAAAGTCTTCACTAAATCAATTTTGTTCAAGACAACAGCACTATAAGAAATAAAAGAGAGTATGTGGAAGTTGAAGAAGTTTCTTATACAATAAAACAGATAATATAACATTATTTATAACACAACATTATAACATTATAGCTTGCCCTAATTTATAAGAAACGGAACATCACTTGCTTTAATCCCCCACGTAGACAAAAAAGTGAAAAAAACATGACTTCCTTCAACTCTTTGATAAGAAAATTTGACAATAAAAAAAGCGATTTTAAGTGTTTTCAAAGTGGAAAGTAAAAACTTCTTTACTGCAATCTTATGGAACAATACTAAGAATTTTTTATTTATATTATTAAGCACGAGAAATTAATTTTATTATTAAGTCGTGTGACTTATAAACACAGTTTGCAGAACTAGTCTTACTTATCCCATTTTTTAATTTTGTCAAAAGACAAAAAAATTAAAGAAAAGATAAAAAATAAATATTTGAAACAAATTAGCAGAAAAAATGAGAAAAAGTTTTTTAGAAAAAAAGATTGCATGTTATAAATGTAGCTATGAGGACTGTATCGGAAGTTGCTAACGAAAGATCCTCGCAATAACTTAGAGCAAGTTATTTGCGAAAGAGAACTGAGTGCTTTGCTTTAGCAGCTCAGGAAAGAATCGAGAATAGAATTTTTAGAGCTATTAATCTTGATTATGATTATTCGTCTGTCGTTACGACTTATAAAAAGTGGTAAGAAATTGATAGGTATAATGAGAGTCTCAGAATTAAAATCGTCGCTCATAAATAAACAATGCGTTGTGTACAACTTTGAATTTGAACATTGCAATACAGATCATGTAGGTTGTACATGCTGATAGAGTTTCAAAAAAGTTCCAACATTCCTCCAGTTAGGATTTCATGTTATAAATTACACTCAACATTCTTAACTACGTTGTTATGAAGTATTAACTATGTTTAAGGTTATATCGTGGGCGCATGTGTACGTTCGCACGACGTTCGTTGTGTTTTTTCTTTTTTCGTAATAAAAAACTTACTTTTATGTTCAAAGTGTTTTCTCTGCTGAAATATGTCGTAATACGAACAGGTTATGGGCCCAGGTACCCTTGGAAAAACTGTTTATTAAACTAAGAAGTGTTTAGTGGATTAAAAACAGTTGAAATGGCGCAAGACGACAAGTTATTTATCAATAAACTTATGGGTGCAAAGATTTGGCAAGTGTGGAAATACCAAATGCAAGCTATACTTGAATCGAGGGATATGTGGGGACACGTCGATGGATCGGTGACTAACCCAGACGCTTCTGACATCAGTTCAGGGGCAAGAATAGCCTTCTTAAAGGCACAAAAGAAAACAAAAGCCCTCCTTGTAACGAGTATCAACTCGGATCTGTATATCTGATAACCGAATGCCAAACACCAAAGGAAATCTGGGATAAATTGAAGGAACGCTTTGCAAGAAACACTGTGGCAAACAAATTGCTTTTAAAGCAGAAATTCTTTTCTATGAAATTTAAAGATTCTGATTCTTTGGTTGAACATCTACGTCACATAAAGAAAATCACTGAACAAATTGCAGCCATCAAGGCATCAATCCCTGAAGATGAGCATATTGTAGCCCTTTTACTCAGCCTTCCACGATCATACAACACTCTAATAACTGCATTGACTGCAAAGGGAGATGAGCTTAGCCTATATCAAGTGCATCAAGCACTCATGAAAGAAGAACAAAAGCGTAGCTTATAGAAGAGCAAGGATGATTGTGGCAAAATCGATAAAGGTGAGATTGCTTTGCAGCATGATAAAAACAATCGAAGGCCCATCAAATGCTATGGATGTTGGGAAGAAAACCATGTGATCAAAAATTGTCCCAAAAGAAAGAAAGGGGAGAATAAGTATAGAAACAAGCAGGGAAATTTATCAAAGCATAAAGCAGCTTTGGTGTGTAGTGATGGAAACGTAAATGAAAACTCTGGAGGTAATGTGTTTGTCGTAGGAATGACAGAAACAGAATGAAACAATTGTTGGATAATTGATTCAGGAGCCTCGCAACATATGACAGCTAGTCGCGATATTTTGGTAAATTACTGCGAGTTCCCAAAGCCAGAACCTGTTACACTTGGAGACTGTCGTTATGTGAATGCTTATGGGTATGGACAAGTTGACATCACCATGATACTTGGACGTAAAGAGAAAGATCAACAGAAATCAATTTTGACAAAGGTACTGTACGTCCCAAAGATAGCTATAAATCTTTTAGCGCACGCAGCAGCATCTAAAGGCAAAGTGGTTCAATTTGGACACAGTCTCTGTTGGATAAAGAACTCCAATGGGCAAGCTAGCACGCGGTCGACTAGTTGGGAACATGTATCAACTTGATTGTAAAGTTGACAAACCGGGAAACCAAGCATCAGTTGCTAATAAAAGTGGCACTAAACTTGATCTATGGCACCAAAGAATGGCACATCTAAATGTCGGTCAAATGAAAACTATGGCTTCAAAGCAACTTATCACAGATGGACATACCAAATCTTGCAATTCAAGCTTTTGTGAGGCATGTGCAGAAGGAAAGGCACAACGCACACCATTTAAGCCAGTAGGAGATATTCAATCAACCAAAAGATTGGAGTTGGTTCATAGTGATGTTGCCAGACCTATGAAGACTGAAAGCCTTGGAGGTGCAAGATATTTTGTCACTTTCATTGATGATTACTCCAGATGTGTTACGGTATATCCAATGAAGCACAAGTCAGAAGTGCTTGGAAAATTCAAGGAGTGGCAGGCAGCAGTCACAAACCAATGAGAGCGTAGGATAAAGACACTACGCACGGACAAGGGGGGTGAATATACACCCACTGAGTTTGAAGATTTTTTTAAAGGAGAGAGGAATTTGTCATGAGACAACAGTGCCACATTCACCCCAGCAGAACGGGATAGCTGAGCGCATGAATCGGACAATCTAAGAAGCAACTCTTTCTATGATTTTGCATGCTGAACTGTCCAAAGCTTTTTGGGCTGAAGCAGTATGCTATGCAGCCTACATAAGAAATCAAGTAATTACGACTGCAACTGCGGCAACTCCGTATGAAAGATGGTATGGAAAGAAGCCAAATGTGTCCCATTTTCGTGTCTTCGGCTGTACTGCTTATGCTCATGTTCCGGATGCGGTGCGCCAGAAATTCGACCAAAAGGCAGTCAAGATGAGATTTGTTGGTTACAGCCTTACACAGAAAGGATACAGGCTGTATGATGAGAATCGACAAAAAGTCTTTATTCGGAGGGACGTTACATTTAATGAAACAGATTTTGGATCAACAAAAGCTCAAATGAAGTGTGGTGAAGATATTACCCAGTGTGCTGAAGAAGAAACAGAAATAAAGGGACAAGTTCGTGCAACAAGAAATGAACAACAAGATCCCCCAAATGAGCCTCGACGCTCAGGAAAGAGAGAAATCCACCAGTATATTACCACACGAGTATGCTGGGATCACTACATCGAGGTATGCAGCACTTTACGTATCTGAGATCCACAGCCAGAAAACCCTAATAGTGAATATGCAACGAAATAGAAAGCTGCTGCAGATGCAGAATACCAGTCTTTACTAGAGAATGAGAACTGCTAATTAGTCGAATTATCAGCTGGACGTAAGCCTATCAGTTGCAAGTGGGTCTTTAAAGTGAAATACGATGAGACAGGAATGGTAGAGAGATTTAAAGGTCGTCTGGTGGCTAGGGTTTTCTGCAAAATATGGAATTGACTATGAAGAGACATTCTCTCCAGTGGTTCGTTTTTCGTCAATTCGCACTCTTCTGCCTTTTGGTGTATCTCGAGTTATGTTGATCCATCAAATGGATGTAGTAACGGCATTCCTCAATGGAACATTGGAAGAGGAAATATACATGCAACAACCCGAAGGCTACAAAACCAGGAGAAAAGCTATGTGTCGTCTCAAAAATCGCTTTATGGTCTAAAGCAAAGTCCACGTTGCTGGAATAAGGTTTTCAGAGAGTTTATGTTATCATTAGGATTTGTTCAGAGTGAAGGAGACCCGCGTATTCGTTTTCTCAAAGATAAGCAGGCGATTATCACTGTTCACCTTGATGACCTCATAATTCTGACTGAAACTGAAGAAGAGATAAATGATCTAAAGGCCAATTTGGCAAACCAATTCAAGATGAAGATATGGGCGCCCACTGCCTAGGAAAGAAGTATTACTATAAAGAATGTATTAATCAGAGCAATACATCAACAAGAAGAAGAAGTATATATAATTGCAAGACAGTGTCTACGCCAATGGATGTAAGCGTCAAACTTGTTAAAGAAGATGGATACAGCAAATCAGTCGACGATTCTCACTCATCAGTCAATGGTAGGAAGTTTATACGCGGCAATTGCTACCCGTCCAGATATAGCTCAAGCAGTAAAACATTAGCCAAATTCAACACAGCACTGAACGAAGCACATCCAGCTGTGAAACGCATCTTTCGTTACTTGAAAGGAACTTGTAAACTAAGCCTGCAGTACCAAAAAACCAGTATCGATTTAGAGGGATACTCTGATGCAGACTGGGCCTCTGACACAGACGATTGACGGTAAACTTCAGGAAATGTGTCTATGTCAGGTGGTGCAATCAGTTGGGCAAGCAAGAAACAACCAACAGTGGCTCTTTCAACGTCGTAATCGGAGGAGTACATTGCGTTATGTTATGCAACCCAAGAATTAGTATGGCTGCGACAACTGATGAAAGACCTACAAATAGATTGTACTGCGGCTACAACCATACATGAAGATAATCAAGGTACAATCGCTATCTCAAAGAATCCAGTGATACACAAGCGGACAAAGCACATTGATATTAAACGCCATTTCGTGCACGAGAAAGCTCAAGATGGAACACTCGAAATGTACTCCTTTTAAAACTTATAAGATTAACTACTAGATAATACTGTTGATACCAACGCAACAAGACCATACAATTTGGGAATTTTGTTTAAAATATGAAGTGAAATTTACCAAGTGTGATGAGTTAATTTCACCAAATAGGCAAACTGCACTTTGAAAGCTTGTACCAACACATTAATGAACGATGCTATAAATACAAAATACGAAATATGAATTTTATATGCTTAATGAAACGATTGTATTAATTTAAGTTTTGATGATTTGTTTGCATAATGGAAAAATATACAGTAAAACAAAAAAGGTAATACGTTTTCATCTTTTCATTTTTTAACGTTTTGCATAGAAAGAGAGTAATTCATCTCACTTGAGCACTTTGGTCGAAACCGACCAAGACGTTGAGGGTGGTGAGGACATAGCATTAAGCAAGACTCCAATACCAACAACATCCACACTATCACAATGTGAGCATTTAATTATGTTTATATCCATTGTTGTATTCATAGCTTATAAAATCTATTTGTGCATTGTATTGAACTTAATTCACAGGCGAAGAATCGAGAACATTCAAAGAAACGACCAAAGACTCAAGAGATGAAAAATGATGTTCAACAACTCATGTTGAAATCCTTCAATTGAAAAGAAAATGTTGTTTGAGAAGCACAACCTAGAGTTGAAGAAGCAGAAAACTGAACTACAGTTACTTGAGAGGATAGTTGAAATCAATGAACAACCTTAATTTTTCTTTTAAACTAGTCAGCTAAAATATGTTTGTGCCATATGCTCCCTTGCTGCTATTCCATCTGTTTCTCCTGCATCCACCCAAACATCTTCATTTTCTTATTCCAGTGCATCCTCTCCGAACTCATCTTCTTCAGCTTCAGGCTGTTGCATTAGAATGCAAATGTTATGCAATTCTTTGTTTGCAATCACGTGATTTATTGCTTCAAAATGTTTTTACGGCTTTCAAGTGAAGGGCTAAAGAACTAATATGGCGGCCAATGCTACTATAACTAAGCCAAAGCAACAACGAAAATTTGTGTCCGAGTACTTTTATCTCTTCAACCAAAGCAAAGTCGAGATACCAAGAGACGCTTTCCTTATGTGATGGACTGGATCCATATTCTCTAAAAAAGAGTGACTTTTTAACCGATCATAACAATTTCCCTAACTTGCAGTTTCCTGACATTTCATATTATTTGGTCGTTCAAACTTCATTTATACGAAGAAACAAATGAAAGCATATAAAAGTCTTGAAGCTTACAACTTTTTTGCCAGGTTGGGTCCGAAGTAAAATAATGGAAATGGAATGTAAATACAATGGAAATGGACTGGTCACAATATATCTAGATTTGGAATGGAACTGTAATGTAATGGAATTGGAAATGGAACTGTGTAATTGCATGAATGGAAGAATGGACAGATGCATTATATTTATAGCAAACATTGCTCCAGCCATCAAGTAGCAATAAATATATCAAAAGTTTCAGTTAAACAGATGAAGATGTTTATTTATAAAATAGATGGAGATGTTTCTTATATGTTGCTCTCAAAGTTTTCAATTTTAGGGACTATTGTTTTACTCCACAGGGACTACAGATTGAGATAAATTAGTTAAAGCACAACATATGACTGCTATCTTATCAATTACTGATTGTACTTTGCCAGGTTCTTTGTACATGTACTCTATCGGAAGAGCACCACTTTGAAGAACTTGGTACTTTCTACGAACCAGTCCTATAACCTTTTCAACATGTATTCTTACATTTGCAATTTTTCGGGTCTCTTTCACTTCATATGGTGATAACTGTGTTTTCCCTTTTGTAAATGCTGGTGTTTTCAATGAAGCACAATAAAGCCCAACACTCTCCTCAATGTTAAAACCTCTATCAGCAAGAACAACATCTCCAGGTAATAAATTGTCCAAAAATACCACTAGCTTCAGTTAATTGTTTGTCACTCACATGCATGATGGTAACAATTTTGTGAAAAATTCTTGATGCTGTGGAGCATGATATTCCAAACCTGTAAGCTAAATACTGTAGTGGAAGAATTAATTTCAATCTCATCAGAACCAGAAGCTCGAACTTTCCCAAAGAAGATCTCTTCGTATGTTATAAAGGGTCACCACTAAACCTGTAAGAACAATTAGGTGGCAGCCCAGTGTAAAACTTGGTCTCATTATCCTTTTCAAAGATTTTTCTACTGATTAGTGCTTGGCTTTCTCTTTAAGTATGCATAGTTCCTCATTGCATCTCTTATGTCTTCTTCCATTGACTTTAAATAGTTGACTGTTAGGTCTGTTTGGCACTCTACATGTTGAACCTGTCTTTCAGTCTGGCATCCATGGTTGATATTTGACTCTATTGAAGCAAAACTATGAATAAGTACAAAGTTTTTCGAAAAGCAAATATAAAATACTTTTACCTTATTGTAAATATAAGTTATTTTCTCCCTGTTCATGTTTTGATGGACGTTACTCCAGTCGAGGCTGCTTTTGTAAATCAAGGAGGGCAACGGCTTCGGAATGGCGTCGTTTAATCTCGCTTTTTTTAACCGATCGTTTTAAAGGCACTTTCACGAATAGGATTTAATTTCTGGTGACCCAATTTAAGTGAGGCCAATCAACGTCGTGTTCGTCGTAGACATTGCTTTGACGACCTTGGAACAAAAATGATGAATGTAAACAATTATATTCATAGAGTCAATAGACATTTTGCAAGGCGCTTCAGTTCAAACTCGCAATTGCTTTTAATATTGAATCACAAAGTTCGTCTACGCACCTTTAACAAAATGTTCACCACATACGCGAGCATGGGGGCCGATCCTTTCGAGGACAATGAGAGGTTTCTGCCACCTTTCACGACGTCTTTTGTTAGTTTTTTTGTTTCCCTGGAGAATTCCTTTCGGTATCCTATAATAGCCTTTATCCTTTTCTCGATTAGCTCGATTAGAGCAAGTAAAAACTGAACAGCAATCCAGCATATTTGAATAAAGAACACATGAAGGGCAATCACGCTTATGATATTATCTATTTACCTGCCCTTCAGCTGGAAATATGAATAATTGATGACAGTGGAAATACGGGAAGTGACGTCTATTGCAAACAAAGAATACTGCACAAGCCATTATAATGGTGCAGACTCTATCTGGTTTCATCCTAAATAGAGTAAACATGCTTGCTAGGATTTGATGTTGTATTAAGGCTCATAAAGACTCACTGATACCTTATTTCTGAATGCAAAACATCAAACCTTCTTCTCCAAATGCCAATGGTTCTTTCAACCAAACACCTTGTTTTTTTTATGTGCCTTGTTAAAATTTTTTTTGGCATGGATGCACTGGATGGAGGTATGGAGTCATCAAAAATGACCGTAAGGCATATCCACTGTCCCCCAACAGTACATCATTATTTGCTGCATGATCCATTTCTTCCAACCTTCTACCAGTGGTAGAGGACCGGAAGATGAATGAATCATGACATGATCCTGGCCATCGTGCTACCACATTGATAAATTTGCCTGCATAAAATTAATTTTTGGAAATTTTATATCAAGTAGGTCGTATTAATACTTGTAAGATAAATTAAGTGGATAACTTTGTAAAATTCTATTGTTTTGATTATCTATTATATGATTTCTGAAGTGTATTATATTATGGTTCTTGAAGTCTAGTACATTATGGTTTTGAATATTAATTAAACATGTTTAATATGTTCATATTTACCTTTGTCATCACAAATGACTTGAACATTTATGCTGTGGTATCCTTTTCTATTTACATAATTTGGCTCGTTTTGGGAAGGAGCAATTATACGTATATGTGTGTGAAGTAGAAGTTTGAATTCAAGTAAACACCAAAGAACAACCTTTCAAGATAAGGCTTTACTCAACACTGAATTAAAATTTACAAAATGTCTCTTTATAAGTAATTATCTTAAACTAGGCGCGGTTACTAAGGTGTACTTCGTAATAATCACTACAATCTCCTATTTGAAATAACTATATAATCTATACTAAGTAATCTAAATAAGACTGGTCCTGCCTGATTGTTTTTTCTTTTAGTTCAATGTTATGTATATGTCAGGCGGTCGGTTTGTTTTTCTCTGCGAGCGGCGTAACGGTAGTGTCTGTTGTGAAGACGACTGATCAGGTAGAGGATCCTCCAGTGAGTTCCCTCTCCTTCTTTGGCGAACTATTATTTAGTTTCCTAGCGTCTTTTGTGGCCAAAGGAGATTGACGTGGGTCGTCTACAGTATTATCTTTATAAGGCGATAGTGGTAGCGGTTTCTCGCATAACTCTCTTTTCCTCAGCTTGTGGAGCGAGGAACCAGTGGCTACAGTATCTTCTCTTCCATCGGGAAATTTTACATGCGCATACTGAGGATTTGCTTCGATTAGCTCTACTTCATCGACGGATGGATCATACTTAGATTGTTTTACTTGACGCTTCAACAGTACCAGTCCAGGTTTGGATAGCCACGTTGGTATGGAAGTTCCACTCGTCGATCTTCGTTGGTGAATAAAGAGGCGTTCATGCGGTGTTACATTAGTAGCGGTGCACAACAGAGATCTGATGGAATGAAGAGCATCATGCAAAACTTCTTGCCAGCAGCTGACCGGTAGTCCTCGCGTCTTCATCGCGAGGGAAATAGTCTTCCATAGAGTGCCGTTCAAACGTTCTACTTGGCCGTTCCCTTCTGGGTTATATGGTGTGGTTCGGCTTGACGAGATTCCTTTCTGGAGAAGAAAGTCTTTAACTTTTGCACTCGTAAAGCCAGAACCTCTATCCGAATGTATGTAAGCAGGCATACCGAAAATCGAAAACAATTCGCAGAGACAACTTGTAATTGACTCCGCGCTAACGTCTTTACAAGCGAAAGCAAAGGGAAATCTAGAATATTCATCTATTATAGTAAGAAGAAACTTATTATGATTAATCGTCGGCAATGGTCCTTTGAAGTCCAAACTAAGTCTCTCGAGGGGTTGAATCGCTTTTACTAAATGGAAATTTTCTGCTTTGTAATATTGAGGTTTACTTTCCCTGCATATCTTGCAGGACTGTGTCATGAGCTTAATTTCATCCATAGAGAAAGGGAGATTACGGTTTTTAACAAAATGTGCCATCCGCGTTATTCCTGGGTGACACAAAGATTCATGAAGCTCTATCAGCTTATCGGAGGTCATGCACATTGCTCTTATCCTAGAAAATGTATCCGCTGGTACATTCTCTCCCTGCTCTGTAGATTATATCAAAATCATAAGTGGATAGTTCCATCCTCCATCTCATTATCTTATCGTTCTTACTTTTGCTCTTTTGCTTGGTATCAAACATGTACTGACTTCTGGTCAGTAATTAACATAAAATGCTTACCCGTAAGGTAGTGTCTCCACTCCTCACGGCTCTACAATAGCCGCTGCTTCTTTCTCCACTGAAGCGTGCTTAAGTTCTGATCCGCTTAACGTCCTCGAAAAGAACGCAACTGGGCGACCGTTTTGGTTGAGAGTGGCTGAAAGAGCAAACTCGGAAGCGTCTGTTTCCACCTGAAAGGGCTGTGCTTCGTCAACAGCTTCACAGATTTTCGACAATCGAACTTAAGTAGATTAAACGAAGTAAGAGCATCGCCTACCATTGGAAATACAGTATTCTGTGTCAGTGGTCTTACTTTTGCTGCAAAGTCTTTGATCCATTGAGAATAGTAGGAAAAGAGACGCACAATCCGTTTCTGTTCTTTTAAATCACGGGGGACAGGTAACTCTCGCAGAGGTCTCAATCGTGCCGGGTCCGGCTTTATTTCTCCATTAGCGATCATACTACCAAGGATGCAAATACTGGTTGTTGAGAAGGAGCATTTGTCTTGATTAAACGTCAAATTTCACTTTCTAGCTGCTTGAAGGAACTTTTCGAGATTTATGTCATGCTGGGCTTGGTCCCGGCCACAAATCGTGATGTTGTCAAGATACACAAACGTGTCTTCTAGACATTCTTTAGCGATAAAGTTGTCCATCATTCTTTGGAAAGCTGCTGCTCCATTTGTTACTCCAAATGGTACTCAACGGAATTGGTACAAACGCTGGTTAGCTTCGAAAGCAGTATATTTCTTTTCTTCTTTTTGAATTGGGACTTGGTGATACGCACTTTTCAAATCAGCGGTGCTGAAAACTTTGTACTGAGCGATTTTAGAGACGATATCATCTATTCTAGGCAAAGGATAAGCATTCAGGTGTGTGAATCTATTTATAGTTTGCGAATAGTCAATCACTAATCTATTTTTTTTGTCGATCGTTTCTAGTTACGACCACTTGTGCTCTCCACGGTGATTCACTCGGTTCAATTATACCTTCATCTAGAAGCCTTTGTACTTCAGTTGTAATAAATTCTTTGTCTTCTCGGCTATATTTCCTTGATTTAATAGCTATCGGTTTACAACCCTCTGTTAAATGTTGGAACAAGAGTGGGGGGTCTAGGTTCAAAGCTGTTAAACTGCAAAGTTTCCAGCACCGTACTGGATAGTGACACTTTCGTGCAGGGCTTGCCAAGTTTGCCCTAGAATAACATGAGTACACAGATTGGGCAGAATATATAGCTTAACCTGAGAATACAACCGGCCTTTTAACACCAAGACAATATCCTTGCATTTTTGTGGAATAATTACATGTAGCCATCGTAACTTTTTCTTTGGTCTGATGAACTGTCAACGAGAGTTGCTCAACCAAATCAGGATGTATGAAGCAATGAGTACTTCCTGAATCTACCAGAGCTGTAACAGTTCTTTCTTTTAAACGAATGTCAATACATGAACTTAGCAATGACTCCCCCATTGCAGCTAGAGTTATGTAAGCTGATTGCGTTAAATTAGAGACTACTGCTGAAGAACAGCAAACTCTTTGGTAGTGCCCTCTTTTTTTACATTTATTACAAATAGTTTCTTTCGTTGGGCATAATGACCGGGATGTTGCTTATTACCACAAAAGAAGCACTTAGCGGAACGTAAAGTGGAGGCTAAATACCTCTCGCTTAGTCCTTCTTCATTATTTTCGTCATGTCCGTTAGATGCCGTAACAGCAGCGCTTGCGAAGGGATTCGAATTGTATGTATCCGATGATTTTTGTGCCAAATCCCAAGCTCGAGCTTGATCAAATGCCGTTTGTAAATCCAACTGTTTAATCTCCAGTAAACGTTGTCGAATGCTTCCCGACAATAGACCACTAATGAAAGCATCCCGAATTGCTTCATCCCGATATTGAGCAGCAGAGACTTGACGAAAATTGCAGTCTTTACTTAGGTGTTTCAGTTCTTGTAGGTATTCGTCAAGGGTTTCGCCCGCTTGTTGTTTCCGTGTTGCTAATTTATGCCGAGCAAAAATCTCATTCGGAGGCTTGACATATAAGATTTTCAGCGTGGTGATGGCTTCATCGTAGGTTTCAGTATCACAGAACAGTTGATAAACATCAGAGGTGACATAATTCACCAGAATGTGTAGTTTATTTATTCGTGTATCAGGAATGGACGGTATTGCATCGATGAAGTTCTCAAATGTCGCGAGCCAGTGTGTCCAACGTTTTGCAGCGCCTTGCGCGTTCGGAATAACATCAAACCGTTCAGGTCTCAAAACTTTATCCATAGGTATAAGGAGAGTGTTGAGTAAATTGAAGTAGAAGTTTGAATTCAAGTAAACACCAAAGAACAACCTTTCAAGATAAGGCTTTACTCAACACTAAATTAAAATTTACAAAATATCTCTTTATAAGTAATTATCTTAAACTAGGCGCGGTTACTAAGGTGGGTGTACTTCATGTAATAATCACTACAGTGTGCCATTAACTCAGCCAATGGCGCAGGGAAAACCCGCAATTTGATACATCCCAGTACGAATAGCATTTTTTCCCTCATTTTTTGATGGGAAATTGATGTAGTCTGCGTGCTTAGAAGCCAATGCAAGTGCGACTTTACGCACTACTCTCGAAACAGTGGCTTTAACCGTGAGTGTCGCAAATGACTTGCAAAAAGCTCCCGGACGCAAAGAAACGATGAGCAATGACCAATTGCTCTTCGGTTGACAAGGCTTTGTTACGGTTTGTTGTTGGCCGTACATCGTTTGCAATCAATCGTGAGATATGCTGCAACGATTCTCGGCCAAATCTATACCGTTTTCGGAGGTCATGGTCGGAAAAACCTTGCCGATCGATTGCATTTCGCTCAAAAATATCCATAAGACGTAAAGCCGCCATATTTAACTGTGTTTTGAAAAGTTAACTATGCTCCATAGCATAGTTAACTTTGACTACCTTTTAACTGCATTTAGCGCTAACTACTTTTTTATACAACCGACTTAACCGCGTGGTTAATTTTAACTACTTTTTAACTGCAAAATGTGTAGTTAAAAAGTAGTTAAGAGCTTTATACAACCGGCCCCTGGATTTTTATCACGAAGTAAATGCAATAATACAGTAAGAATAATTAATGAATTTTTAATTAATATGAATAGGTAATTTTTGAATTTCAAACATCAGTCGCGCGACGGATTTGACATACTCTAGATCCGCCCCTGTTGCACATTTACTTATTTTGTCAAATCCAATCAAAGCCATAAGACAGAAAACAAAGAAATGATTAAAGTTATTTTTAATCAAATTTTGGCATACAAATGAAACGTACCTGAAACATATTGAACAGAGTACTTTACGTAGTTTAATTCCTTCTGTAGATTCATTGGCTATCCTTACTAAAAACCCTAGGATGCCAACCAAGTTGTTGTTAACAATCACGATCTCGAGTTCATCTATGTTTTCTTTTAGCTCTTTTAACAAAACACCAAATGAATTTGATACTTTGTTGTAAAGCCATTTCAGCATTTCCAAGTTACAGCTCTTAACTGCAGGGTAGAATACTGATTTATTGCAGTACAGGGATGTTCTAAGTAGCACTTCACTGTCATTTGTTTCTACTTTCCCTTTTGAAAAGAAATATCAAGTTTTAAGCAAAATTTCATCTTGACGGAAAAATAAAAACCTGTTCAAAACATCAAAATTGGGCATTAAGCCGGAAAATGCCTGTACATAGAATAAATGTAAGGCTTGTATGATTCTTTGTTTTTCTATATATATCGCTTCCAAGGTTTATCTTTACCCCAACACAGCTTGTACAAGGGCATCAGGACGAAATTTTTTACATTATAAAATGGAAAGATTTGGATATGACGGGATGTCTGCAAAAACCTTTTGCACTATTTTAGACGAAAAACTTAGTCACCAAAAAATTAAATATTGAGTCGTGTCTCCAGATAAATTGATCAACATATAAACTGCAATCCAAGTAATGATTCCGGATGTAAACAAAACTAGCATTCTGTAGTCAAAATTTTCGTTCATTGACTCATATTTTTGCAAGTCTAGAAGGAATTATAGGCAGAATATATATATTATATGTTGAAAAAATATAAAAGTATCTTCAGATTTTTATAAAAGTATTCTATTGACATTTCGACTCCGTGCTTCGAGCCTTCTTCTTGAAGACGTTTAGAGCGTTTAATTGGATTAGCAGGTGGATTAATATGATTGGATGGTGTGAAATGCGTTGTCATTGGTTTTGGTGTATTGTGATTGGTGTTAATATTATTAGAGTGTGTTGTTGGAGTCTTAGTGTTGCTTGAAGTTCTTCCGTCCCTTTTTTGTGAATATATGATGGTATGTTGGTATGTCTGTTTATTGTATCGTTGTTTTAATTGCACTAAGCTTTTTTGAATTCGCGTGCGTGTATTGTTTGTGTGCGTCCGAGTACTTTAGTTTGTGTCCAGTCGAAAGTGTCTTATAATTATAAGTAGAATACCTATAATTATAAGCAGAATATTATTTCCGTGGCAGCCGTGGCTATCGCAAACAAATTAAAACCGTACAGATAGAATGTTTGATGGTAAAGCAGAGCGTTAAAATAGAGGATAAAATAGAGGATGAAATACGAGTAACTAGATAGGATTTTTATTTAAGACAACTTTGTTTCGTTTGGAAGTCATTAAGACTGTCACAGTTACCAAGTAAAAAAAACACGTATAACGCGCAACGGAACTTAAGTAAGCCGAGATTGAATAAATTATGTATATGTACGTGAGGTCAAATTACAACATAACGCGTTCAGGGGCGTAACTAGACTTGAAGTAATGGGGGGTGTGGAGAAAATTTGCCCTGCAAAAGGGCGTTGCCCACAAAAACCCCTTAAATCATTATGGCTAGCAAATTATAATTTCTATTGTTGCATGCCTGGTTTATTAGTATACCTTATTGAAGACTAGGTTTCTAACACATACATTATTACAAAAACTGTTTTTGAAATATAAACCTTAACCGTTTCGGACATAACAGTAAAGCAATGTATATTTGTTCTCATATCAAAAGTCTTAAAAGAGAATCGTCTCATCGTACTCTTGAGGTGTTGCTTTTTACTTAAATTTTATTCTGAATTTACGGTTTTTTCTGGCTGCCCAAGATTTTAGTACTACATCCAGAAGAATTGTATCTGTTAAATCCTTCTCGGTTGAGAAGACAATGAGTTCTTCCAGCCTTTCACCTTTCATTGTTGAGCGCAAGTAGTTCTTGACAATTTTCATTTTGCTGAATGATCTTTCAATATCAGCCACACTTACTGGAGCAGTAAACAGAAGTTTGTAGCATTTATAAACGTTTGAGAAAATTTCTTTATTTTTGAAAGCAGTGTCTCCGGCGTCGTGGACTGTTTAACGTTATTCTTCTGTCAAATTTACAAAGTTAACAAAAATCTCAAATTCTGCATACAGTGACATACAATCTACGCTTATTGATGGAGGAAAAAGTTCGGTGACCTTTTCAACTTGTTCAAAATTTCGTTTAGTCAGTGGAGGCTGAAGGATAACAGCTAAGGGTTTTATCTTTTGCAAACAACTTTTTATGTTATCTCCATATTCTCTGATGAGGGAATTGAGGACCTCAATCATGCCTTTTCGATTGTTAGTTTTTAGTAACATAATTGCCAAAGTCTCAGGGTCGTCATCCAAACATCTGCTTGATCTTTTGTTACTCTATCTAGCAAACGCTTCCTCGGGATTGGAGCCTAGAGTCTTCGCAAACTCAACACTCGCATCTATTTGATCATTCAATTCGGATTCAGTGTTCCGTATTCTTTCCAGTGATCTAACAGTTTCATCAATCAGTTGAAGACCATCAAGGATATTGAGCTCTGGCTTCTGCATCTGTACTGTCAGGATCTTGGTGTTTCTCATGATAAACCTCGTAAACATAACTGCAAAACAAACTTAAATTTGACCATTTTCTTACGCAGCGAGGTTGCTTTGGTTCTGGTTGATGAGTTGTTGTCATTGTAGTTTGTTTGTTTTCTTCTGTATCCACGTGTTTTTGATAAATCATATATAAACAAGTGTGTATACACAAAGTGTATATACAATGTGCCCTCCCTGCTATCGCCATTTTGCAATGATTCATCATTGTATCCAGCGAAATGTGTATCTGTGTTTATAATTACTTCATCTTACACATCTCACAGACACATTGCACTGTAGAATTAAGACAAAATTGTCAAAAATGAAGGTTTGTTATTTCCACTTAGTAATCATTTAGTTGTTTTCAATGGTATGGTAATTTTTCTACTTCCTGAACACTGCCCTGCCACTTGACGGCAATATGCCCTGCAAAAACACTGTTTTAGCAATTGGGGTCACACACCCCAACAGTTATGCCCCTGAGCGCGTTAGTGAAAATTAGGAGTTGTATTGCAATGAAGTTTTTTTTTCGGTGGTGGCATGTTTTTCGGAGTTCAAAGCACTTGTTGAGATGCAAATAGATAAATAAAGTTACTAAAATGCATTGAAATAATCTGTAAATGCAGTGTAAATATGCATTCCCAATTTTAACTAATAATTTTGTCATATCTGAACTGCTTTGCGGAGGAAAAATTTCCTAGTGCTAAAAATTTTTCCTGGTAACATATGGTAGCATGTGAAAAAACTTTTTTGTACTTTATATTTGTTTCCATACACTCTTTTACAATGTTTTAATTCGTGCCAATCACGACGTCAACTTTTAATATTTGAAAAGAGAAGGCCAGCCTATTACTAGCAACGGTAATGATCTTGCTTACTTACCAACACTGGTCATTTTCTGCACGAGCTGAATGTTTCCTGTAGTGACAGCTTGATATAACGGAGAAGTGTTATTACAGTCGATTGAATCTATGTAGGCTCCACATTCGACCATTTTCATGGGAATATCTATGTTGCAGCAATAGCTATATATGTTTTTCATAAGTGGTGTTCTCTTTTTATCATCCTTTGCATTTATTAAATTATTAAAGACCGAGCATTTGCTGAGTAAAACCAATATTTTTAAAGGATCTGTTGCAAATCTCATTGCATGTAATAAATTTTGCCTTTCTTGACCAATGCGGAATGGGTATACAAGTAAGGAATCGTATTCATTATTGTCCAATTTATTTGATCGCTGCAACACTTTGAATGTTTTTTTTAAATCTTCAAAAAGATTGAGGAGAAACTTAAAGCACTCGAGGTCGCGATGCATAGCAAATTCTATTAGATGAGTATCCGCGAACTTGCGCACATTGGTCAATTTACCACATATTAGAAGCATTTTGCACTTTTCGTACTTGCTTGAACCTAAAACATAAAAATGTAATGTTTGGTAATAGTACGATAATTCTTTATAGCTGACGAGAGACAGAGAGGCAGCACACTATTCTCGACAGCGAATTCACTCGATGAACTCCTTTTACTCGACCTATACATTGGTGAAATCTTGATTTGGCGTTTGTCTTTTAAAGATTTTTCCCAGGCATGACGTCACAATTTAGAAGATTTTTTAATGTAGGGAGTGGATAATAAAAATGTTAAGTTTCGCACGCATGTTTTTTTATGTTGATAAACATTTGCAACGAGCAGAAGAAATTTTGCGAAGCATACCTAATATTAGCAGTAGTATGTTTTTTAACGGCTACCGATTTGCGTCAACGCGATTTACTCGGTTCGTGTTATTATCGGCTGTTTTAATGGTACGAATATTTTATTGACCATATCCCACATGGTGGACTAAAGTACATTTTATAATAATAGCAATAATATGACTTTATCAACGGTTGCTGATTTATATCAAGGTGATTCACTCGGTAAAAAACGCAATGTGCTTTCATATTATCATTGGAACTTTTAACGTTATTTTATTGACCGCATGGTGGGCAAGTGTACATTTAATGTGTTATTACGAGTAGATAATAAATAAATAAAAGCTCTCGATAGTGACTTTACATTCCCAGAGCCAAGAATGGTTTCATGTAGTATATGTATGTATGTGTAATGTGATGACCTAGAAAAAGTACCGAACTGATAGTTGTAGTAGAGCCTGTTATGGAAGAGTGTATATCAATTTGATATCAATATGACTTTGGAATAGACTGACATACATATCATAATTATACAACTATAAATATTTTGGCTTTATAGCTACTGGACCACAACGTCCACAAGACTCTTAGAAGAATTATAAATTTTACCAGGATAACTCAACTAATGAACTAACAGGGAAGTTTTGCTTTGACATGTTAAACTCGTTAAATCATCACTTGTTGCTCAGTTCATTTGTAGAAGAAAATTTTGTTCGATTTATCCGTGAAGGACGATTTTACTCTTGACAAAGCGTTTGGACGACAAATAACGATATAGTATTTATCTAATAAAAACGGTTTTCGTTCAAAATAGCAATGAATTTAATGTTAAATTTGCGAGGACGTCTCTATAATCGTCGCAAGTAGAGCACCGGAAGCGGATATACTTTTGCTCGCTCCAGCTTGCCGTCGGATTTCCGAGCGCGTGACATGCACTTATATAGCATTGCATTTTAATATTTTAAGGAACAAACATTACAGTTTGCAAAAGACATGGACTCCACTAGGTCCCATTCCCCTTTGCTTAACGTAATGTGTAATCAGTCCTATACAACCAGTATATACAACTAATCAATTCCATGCCCATAATCACTGTATGTTAATGTAGGTAAATAGAATGTTAATGCTGTCATGAATAATGACCGCAAAATGAAATGTACCATTCATGTTTGCATGTGTATAAAAGTGATTTCTTGCTGAAAACAACTGAGTAACATGAATCCAGATGAAATCAAATAACATACTTACACACAAACACTGGGAGACGGAGAGATACATATATGACATCATATAATTGTTGGTGTTAATGGATGTGTTGATCTTGTGCTGGTTGGCAACAAATTGAACAAAATGTAGAAAACATCCTTTAAGCTCCAGTTAATATGATTTAATTGGATTGGTTATTGGTTAAGTTCTAACTTCCTTGTCAACTGCAACATACACATGTAAAGATAAATGATTTAAATGAAACAATTGCTTTGCTACCGCTTGCCTTTAGCATGCAAATTTTGTAAAATGAAATTTGGAAAACTGCTTGTCCAATTATTCCCAATTCAGCATTTGCATATTATGCATACATACAGTGTTACTTCTTGCATGTTCTTCTATAAATTGACTAAGTTATATGAGAATTTGAAAAGAAAAGGTGATACAATTATGTTATCTATATTAAGTGACAAATATACAAAATATTGCAGTTTGTTGCTTATCATATCAATCGTATGTTTTAAAATTACTGTGCTTTTGTCCATTTGGCATTGTGTCGTTTATAACAGATGATAAATGTTGGAAAACACCCAATAGTAATTTGCAAATGGCATTTTTCGCCTTCTCGATGCCAGAGGCAGCAAATACGTTGCGATAGTAACTCCTAGTCTTATACTATATAAACAACATCTAATAATTTAATTTCGTATGAAATAAAAATTTTGTATCGTGGACTTTATAAAATTGAGAAAATTATGTCCCAGAATATTTTAGAAGGAAAAATTGATATTCTTAAAAACTATTGACATTCTTGGCAAAAACAATGCGACAATATACGATGGCTTTATGAGCACAGCTCAAATAATATTCAAAATTATTATAATTTTGGGATGACTACAACGTTTCTTCATGAACTTAGTATTTTTAAAAGTAAAAAAACTTATTTTCTGACTACTGCGATTCGACTGCAAACGACTGATCTTACACTTGTATTTCATTTTGTGCATATTTAATTGCAGACCGGACAAAATTCCTAAAACGTTTACTATTTATTGAAACGAAAGAATTTTTTTAAAAACTTGGAAATTCGTGGATTTCTATATGATTTCTATGATGCTATGAAACGGAATTTGCTTATCGCTAACTCTGATTTTTCGTTTGAGGTGGACTATATGGCATTAATATTATTGATATGAAATATCTGCAGATATCAAGTATTTGTGCTTTTTAAACAACGATTTAACAATTTTATATGACGTACTTCTTAATTTGATGTAGATGGTTTATTAAAAAGAACACGATCACAAGCATCTTTTTTAGTCTATAATGTAGACAGTATGTCTGCTTTTTCTCCTCTATTCTTGCAAAGTTTTCTTGTTTTCATTTTACTGCGTGTAGGGCATTTAGTCATGTTATTTCATAAAAAATAAAACATGTGATATGTATTATTATTCAAGTAGAAATGACCATGTAATAAAGAGCAAGTTATAATTTATATTAGACTTTAGAATTTAATTGCAACTGTGTGTGTGTTTTGCAAGATGCGAAACACGATGAAAGACGTCAAATTAAAGCGTACAGCAGAGGCGTACGTTGTTTACAAAGTGACAAAAATTCAGAGTATGTCTTGATATAATGGCAAAAGAAAAATAATAACTCGAATGGATGGATTGATTGAAATTCGGCAGACTACTCAAACGTATCCTAAATGAAAATAGAACTATTAGGTTAGTGCTCTTTACTTAAAACAGTTCTTTTCAGAACTGACAAGTTATTATATTACTTTAACCATTCACTATGGTATTTACTATCTTTAGAACTATTTTCAAATGAAAATTTACAATCTACCGATATTTATAATGCCAAGAAAGAGTGTACTTCATCTCCAAAAGGGGAGATGACACTCAAAACAAGGATTATTAAAAACATAATCCTTTTGTCGGCAGAGGACGGAATGGGTTAACTTAATTAAAACAGCCTCCATGACGCATAACTGAAAGAATAAACGGCATTTCTTAATGATTCTAAAATTGTCGTCTGGATAAGAATCAGCACAATGGAAGTCACATGAAACTGAATTATTTTTATTACAATCACGTGGTGGTTGTTGTCTTGGGGGGACCGCTCCGTTTCTGATTGAAGTTGGTACATGCTGTTCGATCCTATCACCCAACCTTTGAGACGTTCTGCCTACACAGCGAGCATCACACTCACATTTATATTCATAAATTACATTGCTTAAAATTTGTGCCGGTAGAGATTTTATTTTTTGGGGGGGGGGTGATAGAATTGTTCTTTTCGAAAATATAAAGATAACATTGCTCGCAAAAAACAAATTTTCCGTAATATTCTTAGTTTCCTATTCAATATCATCAGAAGCCTTACCCATCCATGGAAGTTTGATAAATACAGTGCACTTGGCTGATCCAAAAAGCCTGTTCTGCTCATTTTTTTTGGATGAGAAAAGTTTATCACAAATTTTTTCCGTATATCCATTTGAGTGAAATATATTTTTCAATGAGTTGAGATCACCCTAAATGAACTCCTCTTATGACAGTCTAAGTGTTCGCTTAAAGACTTTACTAAACAAATCTTTTTTCTGTGTGAAGCGTGTGTACAAACCCGTAAAAGTTGCCTTGCGATGAATGCTTGTAAGGAATTGAGCATTTCGTTTATGGACAAGAACATCCAAAAACGCTAACTGACAATTTGATTCATGTTCAGACGTATAATTTAAAGAAGGGTGATAAGAACAGAGTTTATGTAAAAATAATTGGCGATTTTCGTCGTTACGAAAAAGGAAAAAGGTGTTGTCAACGTAACGTTTGTACCACAGCACGTCTGGAGGCTCAAAAGGGGCAAACATCTTACACTCATAATAGCCTACGAAAATATTAGCAAACTGGTCCAAGAGGAGAACCCATAGCCTCCCCATCAATTTTTTTGCACGTAATATCATTAAAACTAAACTAAACTCTTCTAGTAGCCGCCTACATCAATTCTCTAAAAGCCTCCTCGGACATGTGTGAAACAGCAATGTTCGAGTGCAAAAAGATTATCAACACAGTTTTCGATGGTTTCTTCTAAGGGCACAATTGTAAAAAGACTGGTTACATCAAAAGAGCACATTGTCATATTAGGATGAGCAGAAATATCTAGTTGTTTGAGTTGATTATTGAAAGTAAATGAGTCTTTTAAAGCGTGGAGTGAGAACTTCTTTAAAACAGGTGAAAGTACAACTGACAGTTGTTTAGCCAACTCATGATGAGCTGAGTTAATCATGGCAAGAATTGGTCGGAGTGGAGCGCCCTCTTTGTGGATTCTGGGTAATCCATTCATAATCGGTCTTTCTGCATCGGTTGGCCGAACTAAATTACAAAAATTCTCACTGATTTGATTTGACTTTCTTAACTCTAAGAGAAGTGTTTGTAATCTTCTTTCTATTGAAGAGGTTTTGTCACAATCTGGCAAGTTTCCAAGCGTGCAAAATTTTTTCTTGTCGTTTAAAATGTTTAACATTTTGCTATTATAGTCCTCCCTATCTAAAATCACTACACCAGAGCCTTTGTCTGGTTTGAAAATTACAATATCCTTATTCTTCTTCAAATTAGAAAGCGCAACCATATGTTCTTTCAATAAAGAAAATTCTTTGGAATCAAACCTTACACTATGAATTAGTGTGCGCAAGGCTTTACAGTTTGCTCATAAAGCCAGGCACTACTTTTATATCGCGAAAATTTCCAAAAACAATATAAAGGAAATGCTGCTGCTGGTTTTCCAAAAAGGGCAAACTTATCGCCAGTGAAGATTTCATCGAGACAAAAAACTTGTAATTCACGTGTTGGAACTGTTTTCCCAAAGGCCTGATTTAAGTTTAATCATTTCAATTAAGAGATGGCTCCCTAATGTTATTCTTTAGAAAAAAGATACTGCACAATTAAGGTCTAATAATGTTAAACCAATCAGCACTATTGTTGACATTTTTGTGTTATTAGCCAATCACAATGCGTCAATAGACTATAAACCAATAAACCATAAACCATAAACAATAGACCATAAACATAGACAATAGACAATAGACCATAAACAAAACAAAGCACTTTGTTTAACGAAGTTGTTGCAATTCGTTATTGATTTTTTTGAAAAAATAACGTTTGCATATGATAAAGTTAGTATTTTTTTCAACTTTGGAATGGAGAGTTTTTTGATTTTTCCTAGATCGCAAAATATTTAAGCTAAAAATACGCTATCTTTTCGCGTGTCAATTATTACCTCCTGTCAAGTACAGAACGTTCATTACATTGTAACTGATAGGAATTAGGAACTTGTCGTGTTCTACAAATAAATATAACCATTTGGGAAAATTTCGACTTTAGCAAATATAATAACGATTTTCTTTTAATTTAAAAGTAATTTGGAGACAAAGAAGCGCTTTGTATAAACGTCGGAATTGGGTAACAAATTTTGTAAATTTATGCATATTTTCGGAGATCGTCATTCTGTGATGTATTGACAAATTTTAAAGGCTGTTCATCTTCACTGAACATTGTTTGTTGTTAAAAATGAAACTTAACAGATGAAATAATAACTTGAGGAGCAGAAGACTTATCAAACTGATAAAAGCATTGTGAGATTGTATATCGACCACAACACTTTCAACATAAGAAGAGTTCTCTTATGGGTGATTTGTGTCTGATATACCTTTTGGGCTACTGGGCTATTATGTGTATGTCATGATGTATCAAATCTATCAAGGTTTCCTTTAAACTCAAAACCCTGATTATTGATACCAAATTGTTTCAAAATCTTAAAGAGTTGAAAATTACTCACTTTATCTAGTCTATTAACGCATTCTGATTGGCGAATAACACAAAAATGTCATTAAAAGCGCTGATTAGTTTAACATTATTGGACGTTGTTTACTGCACAACCTTTTATTCTTTACAATGTCCACTTAAATAGAGCAACATCTGACAGTCAAAAATAGAAAGTTGGCAAATCGCATCGTCTTTCATTTTAGTTAAAAACCAATTTTTTGCTGCCAGCATATGTTTTGCTTAGGTCACATAACATAACGCTGCAACAAATTTAAAATTATGCAAACAAAACTCTGGAACTTCAACTCTACAAGCATAATAATTTGTCATCATATCTTGGAAGTTGAGCTTGGGCGTTGTAGATGACTTGCTAATACTTACAAAACTCGTTAAAAATAAAGCATGGGCGCGAGCACGATTAGACAACATTTACACTACACTGGATCGAAAAAGTGACGACAAAATTTGACTGCGTTCAAACTGAAACGTTTAAATTCCGCTACAGTTTGGCGGGCGTTTACACATAATCGTTCTTTGCCGCTAAAATTCGTTAGTTGTTTGTAAAAGATGGTGCCGTTTCTTGTTTGCATATTAATCGAAGTTTATATCTTAAAGATGGATTTCAAAATAGCAAATACCATGGTGAATGGTGATAATAACAATGTAATAGTTATTAAAAGAACTGTTTTAACCAGAGCACTAACCAAACAATTCAAAGGAACCGTTATTTACAGCTAGAAAGAGACACTATGCATTTTGGCAGACAACTCGTCAGGTGTCAACGTCTGCTAAATGAGAACCTCCAAATCATGCTATATTTATAATGTTACAAAAGGTCAATGTCATCCCTGTTTCCCTATTTTTAGAGATGACACTTAAAACAGAGACAGATTAAACACGTAATCCTTTTGTCGGCAAAGGATAACGGTTCCTTTGAATTGTTGGGTTAGTGTTCTGGTTAAAACAGTTCTTTTAACAACTATTACATTGTTATTATCACCATTCACCATCGTATTTGCTATTTTGAAATCCATTTTTAAGTTTGTCACCACGAAAAAGTCTCTGTTACATTATTTAAGTTTATATCTCTTGACATAAGTCTTAAAAAACATTGATTTTTAATAATTACAACGGAATCAGTCATTAAAAGCTTTCCAAAACATAAAATGATCACAATTTTCAATTATGCGACACAATGTATTACGAATTAAAGAGAACTGGTATCTAAAGTGTAGTGAAATACTAACAATTTCCTGTTTAAACGACAGTGCGTAGCGCTCCGTTTTCGTTCGACCACGTTTCGAAAGTGTGGTCATATCGCTCAAGAAAAGTGACGTTTTGAAACAATTCTGCTCAGGTGCAGTATAAACGCAAGTAGTGTAAACGTAGTCGTTAGCATGTATAACTGTAAGTACACTCAAAACTATACTATTACCTATACTAATCGTCTTCATAATTCAAATTACAGCCTTAGGAATTTATGAAAATGTACTTACATAATCTTTCAAATAAGGTACTTAAGCTTCTCACGTCCTTTCTTGTTATTGCTTGAATGAGCATTTGATGCTTTTTATTATTTTCAGAAAAATTTCGCTTTAAATCGTTTTCTGTTATTGGAAATACTTTGGCGATGTCAGGCAAAGAAGGATGCATCAAAAGAGCATCTTCATTTTCCTTTTTCCCACTGGCTTTTTCTTTCTGTCAAAAAGTTTGTATGGATGAGTGTATTGTGTCAATCTCTATATATTAAAGAAGAAAAAAACTCTAATGCCAAAAATACTTAGCTACAGTAGACAGGACGTATATCTTGAAATTATTTAAAATCGATTTTCCAGGTATGGAGCATGGGTTTTGTGATGGAATATGGTTCTGTTATCAGGCATAATATCTAAGGCGTAATTTCGTACGGTGCAAGCCTCAAGTAGGGGTGTTATTTTTCCGTTAAAGATTTTCCCGAATTTCCCAAGTTAGCATTAAAGTAAATAAACGAAATTTTCATCAAGCTGTAAAGTGTTCTTTTTAAAATATTAGCAAAATTTGTAATATATATAAATTGAAAGAAAACAGCTGCATGTTGTAACTGGAGTGGCAATTCTGATATTAAGAAGTTCTCAGAAAATGTTTGCAACATTTTCCCAAAATTTCTGTCTACTAAAAATCTCCATCGTTCTTTCCATATATTATATAACTGTTTTGTTGAAATACTCAAAGACAGTTTAAAGGACAAAGTAGTAAAAAGTAAAAAAAAAGAGTGCTGAGCAGTTTTTAGAGAAGAGTTGAGACAGGCTCTAAGTGGCCAAGATCTGCTTCCTAGTTACGTATTACCGCAGTAAATGTGATCAAGTAAACAGACTTAAAATTACCCAGTGTAAGTTTTCTTGTGAAAACAGGACTTACAACCATTCATGTTTTCGCATTTTAGACACCGCCAACTCACCTTTTTCTCTTAAACTGAAAGAAGCGCTATACATTCAAAAACTCAAACCAGACCTCAACAAACAAATATACCACATTAATACAATATTTAACCTGTAATATAATATCCAACACTAATTTTGTAATTTAATACACTTAACGATAGTCACATACACATATATATATATATCATGTAAATATCATAATCACCTTCACTCGATGTACTGAAGATGGCATAAGCATGCTGAAACATGTTTACGATAAAAAAACTCGTCGTTCATTTAAAATGTCTGATATCCATCGTGCTTTTAAGAAATTATGTAAATATGTAAATATGCTATGGTATTTTATAATATCATTGAGCTTAATAAATAGTGTAATTATTTCTATTATACATGGTTGTCATTGTAAATTTTTTTAAAATTCTGTTTTAAATAGTGTTAGAAATGTCTAGAATAGTTCACGGAAGTAGTCCTTTACTCTTTTGAAACACACAGGTTTATTTTACTAAGGTATTTTATGTATACATTTACTAAGGTATTTTATGTATACAACTATTGCATACAAATGCACATCATGCTAGGTATTGATATTACTAAATTAACAGTCATAATTTCTACAAGCCAAGACATATGAGAGTGATTTCTTGTTTACAGTGCAACTTCTTGTTTGTCATTACATTTGTTACAATTTGGTTTTTTCATTATACAGCATTTTTAGTTATTATCTGTCCTTTGCATGGTTGATAGTTTGAAATTTTGACTAATTAAAAAAAATGAGTAAATCATGTTAAATTTAATTTAACTTTGTTTCTTGTGTGGAATATGATGAGTTTGAGCATGATATACTTGATCAGTCAGATGACGATAGGGATTTGAAAGAAATTGATAAAAAGAGAAAAAAAGAGATCTGGCCGTAAGTCGACTTGGAACCCTGATGATGTAAATGATTTAGTTGACATAGTTGTGAACAGTGATTATTACAAAAGAAAACTTATATTCCCAATACCAAGTGCCAACGAAATAGTGAGATTTATGGGGAAATTTTATCAGAACTGAAAAAGAGAGCTTTAGCAAGAGGTAGCGAGTTAAAGTTCAGTGTAAAATAGTTACGTACAAAATTCAAGAAATGTGTTACTGACTGTAAACATTCTGCGCTTAAAATTAAAAATGCATCTAGAATCAAACGTTTTCAAGAGAGTCATGGCCTTGGGGACTGGTTTAAAGCATTGTATCCTGTAGTAAAGATCAGAGATTCTTGTAATCCAGATCTGGCCATAGAGCCAGATACTTTTGGAGCATCGCCATGTCCGTCTAATTCTGAAGCTTACGATGATGATGAAAGGTTAAGATCTTTGGAAGAAAAAAATGATGGTAGGCTTTTTGTTCCTTTCAAAAAAACAAAAAGATGCACTACAAAGCAGAAGCTTGAGGATGCTGTGGTGGAAGTAGTAGGACTCATTAAAGAAACCATACGCAAAGATTCATCAAAAGAAATGTTTAACTTCTTGCGAGAGGAGATGCACAAATCACTGGAACACGAATTGAAACTGATTCAGCTGTTGAACACATGTGCTGCTGATAATTGTCAACATCAGCAGTCAAGCAAATCAAATCCTCTCTCTGGTAGTACATCATGCGTGTGTCAGTAGATTCTATCAATGAAAAGGGCCTGATGTATCAGCCTAGAAAAAGCTCACGCTACCCTGCACTCTACATCACTGATGCAGATTTTGCTGATGATATTGCATTGTTGTCTGACAATCTCCAAGGTGCCCAAGCCCTGCTTTCTTCTCTTGAGTCAGCAGCCAACTGTGCAGGTCTTCATCTCAATGAAACCAAGACTGAATTTATGCCAGTTAACATCAGAAGATCAAAACACTGTCAGAAAATATTCTGAAATGTGTTGAAGACTACAAGTATCTAGGATCACACATGAAGAACTCAGAGAAAGGCTTAAACATCAGAAAAGATATGTCATGGACTGCCTGCAACAAATTAGATAAGATCTGGAAATCCAACCTTGATCGGATATTTAAAATCCAAATTTTTGAGATCTTGTTGAGCTCATCTTATTGTACGGTTCTGAGACCTGCACTCTTTCAACCAAACAACAGCAGCGTTTAGATGGATGTTATACACGTCTCTTAAGAAGAGTCCTCAATATCTCTTGGCAAAACCACCCAACTTTAGAAAAAATATATGGAGACCTACCAAGAGTATCAAACCTAGTTTGTAAGAGACGTGTTCAGTTCGCAGGCCATTGTGCACGAGCAACTGATGAACTAGTGTCATTTGTACTTTGGAGACACCCATCATCTGAGAATAGATCACGTAAGTTAACCTTTCCAGATAGAGTAAGACGAGACACAACAATTCCTAAGGAAAATCTGTTAGCAGCTATGAAATATAGAGAATACTGGAAAGGTGTGGTGAGTTCAATCTCGGCGGAGGCCACAAGATGATGATGATATCAATGCCATTTCAATTCTAGTGTCAAAGACATTTTCGTTTTTTATTTGTCAATTGCAGTTTGTATGGTATTGGTATTTAAAAATCATTAATAGTTAAACAAGTTTATAAAAGCATTGTATCTTTTATTGTCATAAATGCATTAGTCTTGGATAATACATAAAATGGTTTCAAAACAAAATGTATAGGTTGTCAAAAGATGCAATAGCTCAAATCACCACTACACATCAAGTTGTCTTCATGTTTATTGATATCCAATAGGATACCAATTGTGTCATCTCATTAACTAACATCAAATAATATATAGCATACAAGCATACAAAACACTCTAATATGTTAATAAAGTTCACCAATTTGTGAAAGTCTTCCACTCATGAAACATGCTGCTTCAGTATTAAGTCAACAAACTTTTCCAGTCTCCTTTTCTGTCCACAATTTATCAGATAGTGCATTTCTAATTTTCTTCGCTTCTTTTGAAACATCTGTGGTTTTTTGACATTTTCTCATTTGCAACAGTTTTCGTACTTCTTCTCTGTCTCTTCTTTTATTGTTGTCATGGTTAAATGTCAGGTTAAGCTTTTTAGAAATTGTATCTCCTCGCATGATACAAATACTGTGAAGAACCATGCATGCAAAAACCGAAATGCGAACATGGTCCATGTTGCCTTCATTTTTCCTTAAGAGTACTCGCCATCGCCCCAGTTGCCCAAAAGCATATTCTGTTACCATTCGTGCTCTACTTAGTCTGTAGTTAAAGAATTTTTGTATGTGACTTAGTACAGCATTTGAGTATGGTTTCATTAACCAGTTACGAAGTGGAAAGGCTGAGTCAGCCAATATTAATGGTAGTATTTCTAATTTGTCAACATGTTTGTGCATGCTTGGTAACATGCCTTCTTGAATTGAATTCCACAAGTTTGTAGACTGGGAGATGATGGCATCATGGGAATTCCCAGGAAAACCGCAGCTACCCCACACAAATTGGTAGTTAGCATCGACCAAGGCCATTAAAACAATTGAATAAAAATTCTTGTAGTTATGATATTCGTTGAACGCTTGAAGACCACCGGGGGTGGGACATTTCATAGGAATATGACAACCATTCAAAACAGCCCAGCTACATGGAAATTGCCATAATTCTTCCATGTCCACGATTTTTTTCTCTAAATCAGTCTGACATTTCGGCATGTTTTTTGAAATTGTTTCATTCCATAAGTATTCAACGAGAAGTTGACATAACTTCTGCATAATGGTGCTCACCGTTGATACTCCTCTTCCTGCCATTTCAGCGATGGTGTAAAAGTAATTTCCTCGTCCCAATATGTAAAGGCATATACCAAGTCTTTCCTCCGGAGAAATAGGTTCCTCTGTGACAGTTTGCTTTTGAATTATAGGTCGAATACGACTTAAAATAAAAAGAAAGGTTCCTGGAGACACACGAAATGTTTTTTAATCGAAGATCAGAATAAATACTCCAAACTTTCTTTCACCAGCCGGAATTTCTATCTTGTTTTCGATAAGATCGATAAGGAGGGCTACGTATGAAGGCATTTTTTTGACCAATTAACAGTAGGAAAACATGGGAAATTTGCAGAAGCCGCCATCTCGTTTCTAATAGTTTATTTGCTGTAACATGCATCAATATTTGCCTTCTCCTATTAACACTAATCATATTTGAAATGCATAAACTCAACATTTTTCTGTCCGCCATTTTAGGAAATTAGGACAAGAAAATGAATAAACTATGAAAAAGTGGAAGCATAATTATAATAAGTGCGACTATTAAATTAGACGTCTGAATCAAACTACACATAAAACTATTTTAGTCGACTAAAACTCAGATTCGATTCGGCGCATATAAAATGCGACGTTTGAACCGGGCCTTACATGTTAAACATTCTAAAGTGGACAGGAAAACTTCTCGACGTTTCTGCGTAAGGGTGAATTACAGTTTAAACATGTATATTACTAACTACTTAAGTGAAAAACCCCTTTAGTATGAAAACCCATCACATCACTAATGCTCATATTGAATATAAATAGCTTTAAATTTTTTTTTTTGAACACCTTACTATTTGCAACTGCAAGTCAACTGCTCCTTTATTATTAAAATAATCAGCAAATTGTTTACGAACCCACTTAGCTTCTGTACCATAGTTATTTGATGCACCAACATCTCTAATGTCACCCTATCCATTCATACAATTTGCATCTTGTCGCCACTCACCAGGTTAAACTCATTATCCATTTGCCCATCTTGATCAGCAAATGATGGTGGGTGGTATAGATTTGGATTATCATCTTCATTTTTGCTCATAAGGAAGCTATGCAATGCCGCAACAGCTTTAGTTATGGCAATCACATTATCAACTTTGGCAACTATAGCCTATGAAACACACGAAACCGTTTGGCACGTATACCAAAAGCATTTTCGATGACACGTCTGGCTCTGCTTAGCCTGTAATTGAAAATTAGTTTCCTCTCAGACAGGTTTGAAAAAGGATAGGGCTTCATCATGTAACGTTTTAGGCCAAATGCATCATCCCCTACAAATATGTGGGGTAGTAATTTCGTTGAATGGGTAATCTTGCCATCTGTGGGCATGTTGAGAAGCTTGTTTTCAATAGCATAGCCAAGATTGCTGTTAGCATACACCCTGCCATACTGCCATCACTTTGCCGCCTACTATCACCAATATCAAGCAGTGTGCATTTATCACTAACTTCCAACAAAACAATGCTGAGTCTTTTTGTAATTAAAAAAACTTGATGCCTGTCCAGCATGAGCAAACATCTGCACATGCTTTCCATCAAATTCTCGCAGCATATTAGGAAAGTTCTATCGATCTTCAAAATATTTGGATACTTTTTCCAGTCACTTTCAGTGCAAGGTGTTTTTCATGAACCCCATTTCCTTTAGTTTGTCCCAAAGTGCGTTTCATGCTCCGTAGATAATTCGGCCAACAGTCGTTGAGCTCGTTCTATAATTGGCAGGGATAGTTGTATGATCATTCCTAGTTGCCATATATCGCAGAGTGACTAAAAGTCTTTGATCTACACTTATTAGTTCTCGCATTTTCGTCTCTTTCTTTCTTATCATCTGGGTAATATACCCCAGCAAGGTCTCAAAAGTGTCAGGTAACATCCTGAAATATCTGAAAAACATTTCATGATAGTAAAATTGCAAGTCTTTAACCAGCAAATTGTACTCTCCTTTCTCATTTATTTCCTCGTACAGTTTACGCATCCAGAATCGTGGTCGTTTTCGCTTTGTTTTCATGGATCTTACTCAACATGCATGAAGTAGAATCAAATGCCTTCGAAGATGTGAATAACGCATTAATGTTTCATTGACATCCGCTATTTTCTCAATTTCACATTGCAATTTGCAATCGTCTTTAACGATTTTGTTGACGATTTTATTTCCTACTGCGAATGTGGCGCAGCGAAATTTTTAGACGATCGTCATAAAAATCGTCTAGTGGGGATCCGCCTTTTGTATGTCAAATATTGCTTTAATGATGTAATATTACATGATTAAAAACTCGTGCTTATGTTCATTAGAAAACATAGTGTAATTCAGTCTGATTAGGGCTATCCTATGAATGCTAAAGTAAATGTTTTGAACCCGGGAGTATCGTTACACGTTTGTAAATGTAGATCGTCCAAGCTGGTATAGTCCTGGGAAGGACTGTTTTTGTTGATGTTGACTGACGTTTGGACAACCTTAGCGGTAGTCACCTTCATAGTCAAATAAGGACTAAACATCAGGTTAGCCGTATTTGTTATCTGCTCCTTACGTCATTATATTGTGTGAACAGGAAATGTGTATTGTCATTGTGAATTATTGTGAAGTGTAATGTTTTAGTTGATCGTTTGTTTGTATTTTGAATAAGTCGTTTGTAGGGTGCCGGTAATTGCTGTGATCTGTTGAGGGGGGTTTGTTCCAAATTGGTAAACCAACTTTCTCATGTAAGCCGTTGTCTATAATCAGTACTGTAAGTAATGCATTTTGCCGAGTCCCAGTCAATGTTGTGCTTTGTGATTCGGTGATGTTCGGCAATAGCTTTGTCCTGTTTCTCTGTAGTTCTTTTGTGTTCAGTAGGTCTTATGTTTAAGTTCCTGCCAGTTTCTCTTATATAGGAGGCGTGGCAGACGGAGCAGTTTATTTTGTAAACTACACCCTGTCACTCGTTGGGTTATTCTTTGTCCTTTATGTTCGTTAGTACTTGTAGTAACGTGGTGATTGATGTGCGACACGTATGTTGTATGGTCGTCAGATACGCGAGAAACTCTCAGACGCACCTTTAATGTAAGGTATCGTTGCTGTTGTCACTGAGTTGTTCGTTTCGTAGGGTTTTGGGTTTGTAATTGTTGCGTTTGATAAAGTCAGAGTTATAGTTGTATTTGTCAAAAACACGTTTGAGATAGTTGTTTTCGTTGTATAGAGCGTCAGGTGAATCACATATGATTTGTGCACGTCTCGTTAATGTTCTGATTGTGGTGGCTTTGTGTGATGTAGGGTTGTAAGATGATTGGTCTAGTAGTGGGTCAATGTGTGTTGGTTTGCGATAAACTGTGGTTCGTAGTTTTTGATTGTCTTGTTTTACCAAACAGTTGAGGAAAGGAAGAGTTCCGTTTTCTACGACATCGTTGGTAAATTGTGTGTGTTGTATAATTTAGGATATTTCATTTATATTTTTTATTGCATGCCAGATTTTATAAGTTCCCATGCAGAGTTTATGTGTGCCAAAATTATAATTAAAAATTAGGGTGTATATACTTAACACTTCCTAAGTATTTTCTCTCTTAATTAATTCATGTTGTAGTAGTGCACGTAAGTCACGAAATGTAAACATATAAATAGACTCAAATTTGTAATAGTCGAAAAGATTGTGTAGATTGTTCATTGCTAATAAACTCCATAAAACAAACCGAATCAGAGTGCAGATCAATTTTCTGGACGAACTCAGTGAATTCTGCGACAGTTCTGTTTGTTGATGTGTGTGTGAAAGTCATCAATCTCGTCTGCATGTAGTGCTGTGATTGTGTCATCTACGTAGCGGAAGCAAAAAGGTAGTGCATGTTTGTAAGTCGTGAGCACCCGTTCGTCTATAGATTGCATTACAATTTCAGCAACTAAAGCAGAAACGGGTGAGCCCATTGCTGTTCCATGTAATTCTTTGAAGTGTGTACCTTTGTACTCGAAGTAAGTCGAGGTGAGGCAGAGCTCCAGTAACCTCATAATGTCTTCTGTCGGTAATGGCAGTACGTCCGTAGTGTTTGTATTGAGGGTTTTTGTACAAGTTTGTAAATGTAGATCGTCCAGGTTTTTGTACAAGTAAGTGCTAGATTTAGTGGAATACTGGTGAACAGTGATTTCACATCAAAAGACACTAGTATATAGTTGTCCAGTATTTGTATAGTGCTCAATTTTTTAATGAAATTTTCAGTGGATTATAGCTTGTGTTTTGATTTGCTTGTAAGTGGTTGCAGTATGTCAGTCAAGTACTTTGAGAGCTCGTAAGTAGGCGAACCACAGAATGATACAATTGTGATTTGTGGAATAGATATTTGTGGTTTGAGAAGTTTTTGTAGTCCGTATAGTCTGGGTGGTCCTGGTACTGAACATCTAAGTCGATAGTGAATACGTTCAGATATAATGTTAGATTTTCTCATAGAGAAGATCTTGCTGTTAAGTTTGCGTACTAGTGATGGTGTTGGGTCTCATTTGAGTTGTTCGTACGTTTATCTGTGGTTAACAAGGGTGTCCATTTTGTCGAAGTAATCATTCCTGTCCATGACTACAGTCACGCGTCATTTGTCTGCTGGTAAAATGACGATGTTGTTGTCGTGTTTTAGTCGTTTGAGTTCTTGTTGCTCAGCCTTTGTCAAGTTGTTGTTACGTATAGAGGACGATTGTAAAGCGGAGGCTACCCTGCTTCTGAACTCGTCTTTGGTTGTCTTTGACAAGTCTCTTTGATACGCTAGGACAGCCTCGATACTTGAGACAGTCGGGATTCGTCTATGTATGATGAAATGTTTTAGTTCGTAAGATAGTAGTCGTGTTTCAGTTTCCTCTAATGAGCGGGAAGAAATATTCCTCACCCAGTTATCGTTATGTTTATGTCTTTTGTTTGTTTTGACGTCCAAAGCCTATTTACTGAACACATAATCATACTGAAGACAGTATAAAGAACAAAAGAACACGCAACTGTCGACAACAAAAGAGTGAGAAATTAAGAAATGTTCTTGTCGGGGTGAAATTGTAGTTTTTGGTAAATTTTTTCGCTACCTCTATATGTTTTCGTTCAGCTCAAAGCATTGAACATTCATAAAGTTTCCGCAATAAGACATTAATATTATTTTTTTCGCACTCTTGCTTTACGACTTAATTCTATGTGAGTTTGTTAATTTAAGTATAGGCATAAGTGAGTGTGAAATTGTTGAAACTCAAAAACTTGCAATAGATTCACATTAATAAGCAGAGAATTGATAGCTATACTATATTAATAAAAATCATAATTTAATGCAGTCAAACCTGTATTAAGCGGATACCCTCGGGGAGTGGACTGGTGTCCGCTTAATGGAGGTGTCCGTTTAAAAGAGGTTCTCGTCACCAGACGTCTCCCGGTAAGAAATAACATAAATAATCAACAACTAAGCGTTGCATATATAATTAGAAATTACTTCTGTTAATAATAACATATACCAGAAAAATTTCCAATAATATTTAGTATTATACACAGTAATTTGTGGCTAAATGAAGATGTTACAGCAATGTCACTTCTTTTAGACAACGAGAAGCTACATTTCGTATAGACAAGCTTCGTTTAACAATAATTGTAAACAATTTCATGTTTGATATAAGCATTATGACAAATAACTTCGTAATTGTTGAGACAATATGTTTTTGACCAACATTATGTCCGTAGATAACAGGGAATATTTTAAAAACTTGTCCGTTAAACACAAGTTTTGTGTTATATTTGAAAAATGTCGATGTCGCGTTCGCTTAATAGAGGCTTCCGCTTAATAAAGGTTTCATCACTACAAATTATACGAGATTTAATCGGGACTTTCTAGGTGTCCGTTTAATACAGGCTGCCCGCTTTATGTGGGGCCGCTTAATACAGGTTTGACTGTATAAGAATAAACGGTGATATTTTTATAAAGACCAGTTCGTCTACCCTGAATTATTTACGCCAGAGTCACTTAGGTGGTCACTTGGTCATACTAACCAAAGTTTTTATATTGATCATGAACCTGTAATGATCTTCTGAAACAATAAAGTATAAACTAAAGTCAATACTGTTTTACTCTTAACGCAAACAATCCAAACATGAAAATCAAGAAACGCGCTTGAAAACTAATTGCATAATTGATAATCGGGAGACAAGACTAACGTATAGTTTAATAACTGAAAAGTAGCTAAACATTTTATATGACTGCTTCTTAAATCATTTAATAGTTTATTATTTCATACCCCCATTGTTCGTAGACAATATTTCTTATGAAATAGGATCTGACTGCTTGTGAACGTAGTGAATAATCTTCTGCGCGTCACACTCTACTAACACTGACATCAAAAGCTCTTTCTTTATACTGCAATATTTTCTCTTTGAAAAAATCTGGTTGATATAACCATAGCAACAAAGCAGCTGTAATTGCGTAATTAACATCATTACTTTTTAAACAAGGACATAGATAAAAGGCAGATATAAAGAACAACTCCTCTCCTGATAAAGATGAAAAATGATTAAAAAAAAAGTTTTATAAAAACTTAGGGAATATAAAATGCTTATATAAATGTATAAACTGAAAGCATTTTTTTGCGTTTGGTGTTTCGAGCAGTGGATTGTACAGATTTAATCGGGACTTTCTAGGTGTCCGTTTAATACAGGCTGCCCGCTTTATGTGGGGCCGCTTAATACAGGTTTGACTGTATAAGAATAAACGGTGATATTTTTATAAAGACCAGTTCGTCTACCCTGAATTATTTACGCCAGAGTCACTTAGGTGGTCACTTGGTCATACTAACCAAAGTTTTTATATTGATCATGAACCTGTAATGATCTTCTGAAACAATAAAGTATAAACTAAAGTCAACACTGTTTTACTCTTAAGGCAAACAATCCAAACATGAAAATCAAGAAACGCACTTGAAAACTAATTGCATAATTGATAATCGGGAGACAAGACTAACGTATAGTTTAATAACTGAAAAGTAGCTAAACATTTTATATGACTGCTTCTTAAATCATTTAATAGTTTATTTTTTCATACCCCCATTGTTCGTAGACAATATTTCTTACGAAATAGGATCTGACTGCTTGTGAACGTAGTGAATAATCTTCTGCGCGTCACACTCACAGATCTAATAATACACTAGATAGTGCAACTGAAATAAAAGTTGAAGCCGGGCAAATTTACTTCCGGAGCCCCAAAGTAGTGAGAATCAATATGGCGTTGTATTAGAAAATATGTGGTCCAAGTTAATATCTCGCAATTATTAGCAAATCAGGGAGGTTGCATCAACTTTTTTGCACTATTTATGAAATAAATCATTGTGACTATAGTTTATAAGAAAAAAATTGCAGAATACGCCAATACATCGCCGTAAAATTGATTTCAAGTGTAGCTCGATTTGAAAGCATCAGCAGCGACTAAGGCTTAAGTACTGGAATTTACACATCTAAATATCGTATCACAGGACAATCTGCGATAGTGTGGCTTAGTTCGTGTGGCAAATACAGCGATATCATACTCGATCTATGGATGTATTGTAATAGAACAGGCATATTACAAAAATCAGTCAGAAATTGACACATGTTACAAGCACAAATTAAATATTTTGCTCAGAATAAATAATTTAGGTTTGATATTTTCAATAACAAGAATGTGTAGAAAGTTTTATATGCATATACATGCCTGAATGGTAAAAAAGACAATAAAAATGTTGAAAACAGTAGCATAACATCACCATAACAGTACATTAAGCACTGTGGGCAGTGGCCATATAACCCACTGGTTTAGACTATGACAATACATTGTTTATATATATGTTTAAAACACAGTCAATACTACAATTCTGGTGACTCTTCTTGCTTTAACAAGTAAATATTTTCCCCGTGTTGGACAGAGTGTATTGTATCAACCTGTGGTATCAACAGTTTCACAAGTGACATGCTATTTTATACTTCACAAAAAATTTGGTGTAACAGAGGTAGACTCATAATATAAAACAAATTCCGAAGAAGCAAGACAGACTCTATGACATAGACAAGCAAGACAAGCAAGACATAGACAAGACATAGACAAGCAAGACATAGACTCTTGAGGTAGACTCTTCACATTCTTTCTGTAAATAATTTCTGAACGTATTAATTACTCACATCTTGACATAGCTATATTCGTTTGCCGACCAGAAACACCAGAAAAATGCATTTCTGGTACAATAATCCAGTGCAATATTTAATTATGTACAGTGAACAATATACTTTATATAAATCGTGAAAAATCTTTCAAACTGTTATCTCCAACTCGTTTTACTTAACAATAAATATCGGAAGATAATTCTACGACGTTCGATTGAACAATTTGTGGCAGATTGTGCTGTGATACGATATTTAGATGTGCAAATTCCAGTATCTTAAGCCTTCGTCGCTGCTGATGCTTTCAAATCGAGCTACACTTGAAATCAATTTTACGGCGATGTATTGGCGTATTCTGCTATCTTTTCTTGAAAACTATGGTCACATTGATTTTTTTCATTAATAGAGTAAACCAGTTTACGTAACCGTCGTGACTTGCAAGTAATTGCAAGATATCAGCTTTGACCAGATATTTTCTAATACAACGCCATATTGATTCTCACTACTTTGGGGCTCCGGAAGTAAATTTGCCCGGCTTCAACCACTACTTATGAAATGTAAGCCGTTGCACTATCTAGTGTATTATCAGATCTGTGGTCACACTCTACTAACACTGACATCAAAAGCTCTTTCTTTATACTGCAATATTTTCTCTTTGAAAAATCTGTTTGATATAACCATAGCAACAATGCAGCTATAATTGCGTCAGTAACATCATTACTTTCTAAACAAGGACATAGATAAAAGGCAGATATAAAGAACAATTCCTCTCCGGATTAAGATGAAAAATGATTAGTAAAAAAGTTTTAAAAAAACTTAAGAATATAAAATGCTTATATAAATGTATAAACTGAAAGCATTTTTTGCGTTTGGTGTTTCGAGCAGTGGATTGTACAGCAATATATAAATTGTAAATGGTTTGAAGTTGAACCCTGGAGTATCCTTACGTAGTGCTATACAGACTTCGAACAAAGCCCACTAAACAAATCATAACAATTACCCACACCTTACAAACGACTTAATCACAGCTTACAAACGAAGAAGAAGATGAGGACGAAACAGTTTTGAATTCAGAAAAAACCTACCGGTGAAATCCCCGAAATGTTGAATGTATTATAAACTGTACTTTTAATAATGTTACACACGTTTGTGTTTTTACTACTCTAGCTAATATAAGTTTGGCTGATAAAGTGAGCAAGTTGGATAACAGGTTAAAGATTTATGTCAGATATTGCATAGAAATGATCTTCTTTGATTTAGACTTTGGAATTATTGCGTTGTCTGGTCCAACTTCTAGTGGAAGTTAAGAATGATACTTTTGAGCAAATATTGCAGATGTACACTGCAAAAATAAGTGTGTTAAAGTATAAAATAGTATGCGTGGTTACTTGTGTGTGTGTTAAAATAGCACAAGAAATGCATGTCAAACAATTGCACGTGTAAAAGAGCACGAAATGTGCGCGTTGTTTAAATTGTTGAAAAGTGCACACGTGTTATCGTGCTGTAAAGCCTCGCTGCACTCAGATGCGAAAAAAACCTGTGTTAAAAATAATAAGATACGCATGCGGCGATTGAATGTAGTGTCAAAAGAGCACGGATCACGCAATTTGTTATTCTGCGTGTTGACTTGCCTTTGTGTTAAAAAAATAGCACAAAAACGCGTGTTAAACAAATTGCACGGGTAAAACGAGCACGAAATGTGCACGTTGTTTAAATTGTTGAAAAATAGCACACGCGTTATCGTACTGAAAAGACACGAAGCACTTAGGTCGGAAAAAGCCCTTTGTTAAAAAACAAGGTACGCGTGTTGCGATGGAATGCAGTATTAAAAGAACACGGAGCACGCAATTTGTTAATCTGCATGTTGACTTGCATGCGTGTTAAAATTGCAAAAAAGTCTCATGTTAAACAACTTTCAAGTGTGAAGACCACGAAATGTTTGTGTTGTTTAAATTGTTGAAAATAATTGCACACGTGTTATCGCGCGGAAAGGACACTCACCACTAAAACAAACAAGCATACCAACACGTGTTGTGATAGAATTGAGTGTCAAAAGAGCACCTTATATGTAAACTTAGGTATAAAAAGTAGCATGTTCACCAAAATTTATACACTCTTTGGCAAATTTTACCAAATCTATATGGAACTGAATTATTAAGTATTTCTTTTTAATTGCACTTTACTCATGCTGCAGCTTCTTTTGAACTTTTTGGTTTACACATAACAAACCTTAAAATTAGAAAAATTATTAATTTAGATTTGGGAGTATGGATGCATTTAAAAAGTTTTTATTCATTCAACAGTTTATTCATGCAGTTTCACTCATTGACATTATACTCATTATAATCAATCGTTTTTATACTTAGACTTCAATAAGATAATATTCACATTTAAATATACACATTTAGACTTTGATCTAGCTCAAACCTGGAAGATGTGGAAACAGATAGTGTGGATGATGATGATCCTTATGGTGATTGTTTTGATGTTGAAATGGAAACAAGTACTGATGACACAGAAGATGATGAAAATCTTGTTAGTAATAGTGAGAATGTTCATGATGATGATGAATACTCAGAACCAACATAAGATCTATATTAAATAGAAACGTTGTTCTGGCTTCACTCTAATTAGTATTTGGTGTTTCGAGCAGTGGATTGTACAGCAATATATAAATTGTTTGTTTTTAGAGCTAACACTTCTGACAATAAAAGTGTCAACAGAAATACAATTGACTTCTGAAACAGCTTCTTCTGTTGTTAAAAACATGCATGTTTTGTCATGGAAAAAATCCAGTGGTTCATGTTTCTCAAGTTGGAACAATGGTAACAATAAAAACCATGCGCAAAAATATTGATTGTCGTAAAGAATTTGTTTGAAAAATTCAGACATTGATGCCCGGTACTAAGATTGCAGCTGGAAACTTTCTACTTTCATTTGCAGTCTTAGTGGTTGGATCTTCAGCTAGCAAAACATTTCAAGCATTGAAGCATATAGGACTGCAAACTATTTTACTGCCAAAATATTTTGGACATCAGCAAGTATGGCATGTTTCTTTGGTTTAAGCTGCAGATTTTAAGGGTGACTAATATTTTAATTTTAATTTATAGAAAGTTCTTTTCCATCAATATTTATATTTTGGAGAAAGTACCAACAGAAACTCATGAAAAAAAACTAAGGAATGTGGCTCTGTTGTTCTGGCAAGTGACGGTCGTCATGACAGTATTGTGCCTCTACCGTCTTTTGTTGTGCTTATACCATCAAAAGGGGCATTTTCAAAAGAAAAACGTCAGCCGAAAAGTTTCACTTGCAAGAAGCCAATGAAAGGTCACAAACATGTGGCGGATTGCCCAAAAAATAGGAAAACATAATTTTCACATCACTCATTTATTTCATTTTCTTCGTACCCTCTAAATTCCGACTTTTTATCATTAAATTTTGATCTTATTGCATGATATGCACATGCTGGTAATGGTCTTCTTTCTTTTCCCAAGCATCCATTATTCATAAATGTGAATTCTCTGTACGCAACACATTGTAAAAACCGGAATATAAAGCCAAATTGTGACTAATGTGACATAGCACTAAAATATACGTAAATATTGGGAAAGAACATAATATGCTATCATATATGTTTTCAGATCCTGTTTCTCTTTTTCGTCTTTGTTCTCTGGTTTTGTATTTCTTAGTAGCCATTTTTAGCGACCACTTTTCAGAAAAAATGGTCTGAAACCTGGGTGTAGAGTGACAAAACATGGAATAGTTGACAGATCTGCCAGAACCGACTGGTGTGTTAAGCTTTCAGCTACAGACTTAAGTTCTTGGCAGCACTAGGTTTCTAGAGGACTCTGAAGAGGTGAAACTTGACAGAAACCACACTTGCACCTGATCAATAAAGAAAATCTCATTAAAAAATTGTAATCGAGTATCTTTTAACAATTTTTCGCCCAAAAGTAAATAAAAAAAGCGAGGACAATCTGGAATAGAAAATTGCACGCTTATGCATATATTTCATAACTTGAAAGCTGAATTAAAATACATTTCATAATTTGAATTAAAATTAGAAATTTTATTACTCAACAAGAACTCAACTCAACTGTGTGATCAAGTCTTTTTTGTAGCATTTCAATTTGCTTTTTTTATTCATTTCATGCAATACAAATGCTTGTTTATTTATGTTTATTTACAAAAAACAATATTACAAAATGTTTATAGATCGTACTCCCAAGACTACTAAAACTCGGTCAAAAACTATCATGACATGACGAAGTCGTGTCTTGATATTAAACGTTTCTTGAATTAAATTTACTCTAACATTATCGTAGCATGTTTATTTTTCTTATCATTTGCATTTAGAGTTAAACTTTTGTTTTTTGTCGTGACTCAGTGTTGTTTGTTATTAGATTAAGAACAAAACTTTTTTAAAGGAAACTTGAATGCAAAATTTCTTTTGAAGCCAGCACCACCCAGACAGTTAACACCATTAGGAAACAAAAGCAAGAAAAGGTGATACCTTCAATAAATAAAAAAATTAACCTGCTAAACAAAAAATCAAGCAATGCCCAGAGCAAGTGCTTTAAACAATGATCTCAGTAAACTGCCTCCACATTTGGCTGAATTAGGAAAAGTATACTGTTTGACCTTATTGTTGTCCGAAAAAAAGGGTAAACACTTCTCACCTCAAGTAAATTCCTTGGTAAAATCCTTGTTCCATGCAAGTGGAAAAGGTTGTCGTCGCCTCCTCTTCCCTTTGAATTTGAAAAACAGCATAAAATTCATCAAAAACTTAAAGAACTTTAACAGCTGCAAAAATGTGACAGAAAAAATCAAATGCTTACATGGATGGCTAATATTTACAAGGTTTATATAAAAGTAATATGATACATAAATTATAACAAAAATAAGGAAATGAGATAAATTAATTGAGAGCATGTTACAAAGTAAATATTGTGTTGAATCGAAAAGCTTGAACATTGAGTTCAGGGTTAGTTTTGTTAATGTGGAGTGCATTTTGATTTTAAGGGAGGATGAGGGGTTTGCAGTGTCGATGATTTAAAGCAATAGGGTGAACAATTGGTTTTACATGAGTGAGATTTAAGAAGGTGTCGGTAGATACTTGAGTTTTGTCTGTTGTGGTATGTTTCCTGATTCTGGTAGATAAATGAAACGAAGTTTCACATATATATAGGAAATTACATCCCGCGTAATTGAATTCATGTACCACCATTGACCTAATTGAATCTGGGATCGTGTATTTGAATGAGAAGAAGTTTTTGATTTCAAATGACGTGAAAATTAGTCAAATGTCAATATCTATGCAGAAACGTTTCATAATGCTCGTAAGTCTGCGCTGTGTGTGCCGTGAGTAATACCTGATTTATGGTAGTTTAAAATATTGAATTATTATTTTGGGATTTTTGTTTGCGTTTGTCGTGGTCGTCGTATCAGGAGTTTCAGTGTCCAGTTTGAGGTGATTGTTACTTTTGCTCTCGAGATATCGTTTTAGAGTCCTGTTAATAAAGTGTCGTGGGAAGGAGTTTCGTAAAAGAATGGATGTGATGTTTTTTTTGTCTCTTTGAAAGCCATTGGTCGTATTTGTAAGTTTGTATGCTCTGTTGATGAGTGTGCGTATAAGTCTGGTTTTGTATGAAGGTGGTGTAAAACTAAAATAGTTCATCAGAAGTTGGTGTGTGATATGTCAACGTTGTACAGGTGTCATGCGATTTTATTAGTAAAATGTCAAGAAACGGTAGGTGATCTTGTTGTTCAGTTTCGAATGAGAACCTAATGTTTGCGCGCTGTGTGTTGATGTAATAATAAAATTTTATGGCCTTAGTTTCGTTAGTAAAAACACAAAAAATATCGTCAACGTATCTGCGGTAAAATAGTGCTTTAGTGTCTTTGTAATTGTTTAGAAGGTTTCGTTCATGTGAGCCCATGAAAATGCTAGCAAGTATAGGTGCTAAGAGAGAACCCATCGCAACAACTTCCGTCAGGTCATAAAATTTTCCATTAAATAAAAGATGTTATGTGTTGTCGCTATGGAATGCCAGAGCTGTCTTATGCCATGATATTCTGTTACTTCTTGTTAATTTATTATTATATGCGGTCCATCCATCATTATATGCAGTGATCTTTTCATTATATGCGGTCCATCTATCATTATTTGCAGTGATCTTTTCTTTATATGCGGTCCATGTGTCATTATTTGCAGTGATACTTTCGTTATATGCAGTCCCTTTGTCATTATATTCGGTCCATTCCCATAATATGACGTGATATTTTCGATATATGTGGTTTATTGTTCATTATATGTAGCGCAATTTTCATTGTACCTCAACTTATTATGTTATATGGTTAATTCGTTATGTGGCTATTTCATTATGTGGTTATTGTTATTTCGTCGTTATGTGATGTCTTTCATGAAGTATGCTGAATTAACTGAAACGGGCTCAAAGTTGTTGTGGAACTGTGTTGAAACAAGTGTCGTGCGTCATATTTGACAGATATAATGGATAAAATATTAGAAAAGGCAAGTCTCTTGAGTTTGTTTGGGAGATTTATTGAAGAAAGGATTGAGCCTGACGTAGTTTTAGCTATGACCGATACAGAGTTAATCCGACTCGGCGTAACTACAATAGGAGAGCGCATTTGTCTTCGTGCTGTTTGCAGGGATACTACAGCATCAAGTTCTACTCCTGTTTCATCTACTGCCTCAATCATGCAGAAAGGACAAGATTATTTTATCCTCGCCATGCAAGGTAAACGACAAGAAAAAGAAAAAGCATCTCAGCTCGCTATACAGCCATCGACTGCAAACATTTTTTGTTTGGCAGATCGACTGCAAAGTAGCATTCCTTGTACAACTACAAGCAGACTCTTCACAATGCAGGGCTAGGAATGATAAACATCAAATTTCAGCTTACTGACAATGAAGAACAGGTAGCAGAAAAATTTGTCTGCTGAAACACAGTCTGATGAGGAGATTGTGGGTGTTACGTGCGTGGTCCCGAAAGAATAACTATTAATTTTGGTTCTATTTCCACACGCAACAAAGATAGTGTGAACCAGTTATATTTCTCAAACAATTTATTAATCAACGCATAAATATTAAAGTAGATAAGTGTCTTAATAATAATATCAATAAATATGAGTAAAACTTATCTCCTCTGTCTGAGTACAACCGCGAGTCTTTATTCTTGAGCGTTCGTGAGTCCAACAATGACTCACAATAGTTTTCCAAATAGATTAAAGGCACAGGAGCCAAAAGATAGTTATGGCACAGAAGCCAAGATAGTTGCCTGGTGCATTGTAGCTTGTCAACCTACTTCGGTAGGCTATGCCTCCTAAGTTTGTCTCCTCGTAGCTTGTGCTCGTAGGTTGTCCTCGTAGGTTGTCCTCAGTGGCGTAAACTACTCATGTATATATAATATGTAATGGGAAGTATTGTGGTTTTGTGACCTACATCCCATACGCAATACAATATGTTACAGCAAGATATAGTTAACCACAATAACAACAAATGCGGTTGCGGTTCCAAAGTGTTTACGCATGTAAGCAAGCTTCTAGCGCATGCAAGCAAGCTTCTAGATAATGTCCTAATTAGTAATATATGAAATTATAATATGATATAATAACGATATTACATGATAGTGGTTGCTATTATGTAACAGTGGGATTTCCTCAAATTTGGGATGGTGGTGGTTTCGAGCTACTCCAATG